TCAACTCTCGGACAGATTATTTAGAGATTGGGCAAGCTCTCTCATTGGGGTTCGCAGGCCTTGCACTTGGTGCTACTTCACCACAGCATTAGACAGGCCCAGGACGACTTTCAAACAAGACAGATTCTGTCTTTGGCTCAAGAGAAAATGCCTCTTCCCATGTGTGGTTGACAAACTATTCACCAGAGACGGATAAGGCAGAGGGGGCAAATATCCAACCTAAGACAGGAAGGTTACGGGCCTGGGTGACCTCTCCAATGACGGGTATAGAATTATGCTGACGTCCTCTGCCACCTAAGTCAGGTGTTAGTTTATATTAAAAGAAAGGGGGAACTATAGGACCCTGCATGGACCCCCAAGGCGCCTTGAGCAAGCCTGAAGCTGTTGGCTGGAACTCCTTGCCCCAAGGCTGTTGTTGGTACTCTTCCCATTTTGGTAACACACACCTCATAACAACACACACCTCATAGGGAGGAGCTAAACCTAAAATTCCTGTAATTTTCCACTGTGCTGTAAGTCGGTATTTAAGCCCATTCCATCCTCTCAATAAACGACATTCGGCGTCCCGACATTGAATGAATGACCAGCTGTCTTGTCTTTATTTCAATCTCTAGGCCTTCGCCCGGTTTCTGGAACAAATTGTAGTACGGGCGCTATACTTCCACTTAAAACTTGATAAAAACTTAAAAAAGGGTTTTACAAATGAAAGAACAGAGACAAGCAAGGCTTCTTTGTAGCAGCATTTTTTCTCGGTTGAACTCTGTTTTGCTAGAAACATGCAGAAATTTGTGGTGCTCCTTTAAGGGAGGGTTCCTGAATCAGCATAGCTGTAAAAAACTGCAGGGCTTTTAAGAAGCACTGCTAACAATTCAATGGTGTGTTTGAGCAGCTGGTCAAATAAAAAAAAAAGTAGAAAGAGAGGAACTGGGGCATTGGTGGACACGCCTTTAATTCCAGCACTTGGGAGGCAGAGACAAGCAGATCTCTGTGATTTCAAAGTAAACCTGGTATACGGAGTGAATTCCAGGGCAGCCAAAGTTACACAGAGAAACCCTCTGTGTCTCAAAAAATGAAAAAATAAAAGTAGAAGAAATAGAGTAATAAAAAAGCCATGTGAAGATGGAAAGCACACAAAGAGTCTGGATACTGTATGCTATGGTATTGTCTTTAAATTGCTCAATTTCTAAGGAAGGAATAATTGCTACAATACACTTGATTATCAATACTGATAGATTAATCCAATTTATATATTTTAAAAATGCTTTAACTTCAAAACTTAAGTCTAAGGACAGGTTACTGGGGAAAAGGATTTTTATTTTTGTTTCCACAGAAAATGAAAAGCTGTGGATTCCTTCCAGACTAACACGGTTTGATCAAGCAAGAACCCCTGAAGCAGTGTCGCAGGTGATCCAACATTCAAAACATCTGGGACAAGGCAGCATTGCAGATCACAGCCAGAATTTCTGTGTCTTCTTAGGATCCCCATGATAGCGACCCCCCTACCAGCAGGAAGCAGTTTGTTAAGAATGACACCCAAATTCCCAAATATTGTTTATAATTGTTTGTTTTCATTTATATGGGGTTGGTTATAAATGGTTAAGGGGCTTATGGTATAGATGTGAATACTTTGTTTTGAAATGGATTTTCATTTATTGATAGCAAATTTAAGGTCAATTTTGTGATATGTATATTTCTCTTCTTGTTTAGGTATTGTGTTTATATAGCTCATTTAAAAATGTACAATTTAGTTGTAGATTTTAGATAGTTACCTATAATAGTCAAAACTTAAGTTAGTTAGGATTTCTAGATATACAGAGATGTATTTAAGATGGATAGGCATTCTTCAGACCTTTCAAAGTCCTACAGAATATGGCATTTAAAATGGTTTAGGGTTTTTCTTAACATTGAAGTACAACTGATCCTGGCAACACCACCTGTGTCAGAAAGGAAGATGGACTTTGAAGAAACTCGTTATGGAGTTTACTTCTAATATGGCAAGACTAGCCATTTGGATAAGATACTGCTCTTGTCTGGACTGTTTTGACTTTATGCTATATAAACTGGACATGCAGGACCCACAGGAAAGTGACTGCTGATACAAGATGGACATTACTACAGGGTTCCTGCTTCATAGAAGATTCTGCCAGACATTCTATAGGACACAGAAAAGTGACTGACAAACTGCCAATATGGGTGGACAGTTTAAAGTTTCCTGCTTTGCTGAGGAGTTTGCCAGATACACTATGGCCTATAGGCTGAAGATTGAACATTACAGAACTTCAGGTGACTGATCAGGTAGTAAGTCTGTCATTTCTAGAGTTTATATATTATCTTTCTGTGGTCTTTGAAGGAGTTGAAAACAGATAGTTATGACTATAGTTTTCCTTATTTAGGATTAAAGATAAGTTACATATAGGACTTTAGACTCACAAAGATAGGATAGATGATGGAATATTTTCTTTAAATCTGGCTAAATGTTAATGAACTAAATATTGTTAACTGTAGTTCTTATTTGACAACTGTTTTGTTATATATTTTACTATGTTAAAGTTATATACCTTCCTTTTATTTTAGACAGAAAAGAGGAGATGATGGGAGATGTCATTCTGTAAATATGTTTCTCGTGTTAGTTAATGAATAAAGCACTGTTGGCCAATAGGAAAGCAAGATTGGCTGGACTAGGAGACTAGGAGGAGAGAGGATGAAGTAAGGAGGAGATTCAACATGTAGGACCAAGAGAACAGAGGTCCCGATCCTCTCTCTGGTAAGATAAGGCCATGTGGAAATACTTAGATTGATGGAAATGGGTTAATATTTAAGACAGAGCTAGCCAATAAGTAATGCTAATAACAGGCCAACAGCTTTATATCTAATACAGTGTCTCTCTGTGTTATTTGGAGCTGATGCAGCTGTGGGACCATGCTGGCTGGAAAACCTGCTTGTAACAGCAGTGAATCTACTGATTCATCCTGGTTAGGTTGGTGTGGCTAGAAGCTTTCCTATGTTAAGTTAGCCATGGAAATCATGGGATTAAAAGACAGCATGGCATGATAACCCTAGTGAGAGGTGAGATAATTGGTTTTACTGGGGAGCAACTTGGTCTTAGAAGTGAGTGTGTGATTATGTTATAGTGTTTCCTTCACAGCACCTTCATATGGCATGTGTACAGTGCTGTGTCCTTCTAAAAGTGGCTTTATACATTTTCAAAAACTTCTCCAAGTCTGCTGGTCTTTTTATGACTCCATGACAGCATCAGGATAAAAGCCTCACTTGGGAGAGAGTTTGAGTCATTCTAGAAAGCATGGTGTCTTAGTTAGTATTTCTATGGCTGTGAAGAGTCACCATGACCACCACGGCAGCTCTTATAAAGGAAAACATTTAATTGGGGCTGGCTTACAGTTCAGAGGTTTAGTCCTATCGTCAGGGCTTGAAGCATGGCAGCTGGCAGACATGGTGCTGAAGAAGCAGCTGAGAGCTTTACATCTTGATCTGAAGGCAGCAGAAGGAGACTGACTTGAGCTTCTGAGACCTCACAGTCCATCTCCACAGTGGCACACTTCCTCCAGTAAGGCCACGCCTACACCAATAAGGCCACACCTCCCAATGGTGCCACTCCCTATGGGCCAAGCATTCAAACACATGAGGCTATTGGGGCCATTCCTATACAAACCACCACACTTGGGCAGCCATGCTTCTGCACCTGAGAACTCAACAGTGAAACATAGTTGCTTGTTGGGTCTGCTGTAAACAAACTGAAAAACAAGATGGGAAAGCTGAAATACAGTCCTGTTTCAAGATGGCATGCTTTTCACAGGAAAGGCAGGCTGTTTGAAACAACAGTGAAGGATTCATGTCTTACTCAAACTTATAGCTTTTTGGATTTACTTTAAAGAGTGTCCCAAGGAACAATATCAACAACAACAACAAAGTCCTCAGGAGTAGGGGTTAAATATCTCCAAGTGAGTGCCATTTTGTCTGGCATGTTTTGTTGCTATAGTGAACTGCACTGATTGACAGTCTTAAAGTAGACACCCATTGGTAAGGATTTTTTTTTTTTTTTACCTTTGTGGTGGTACCTGGGACTGAACTCTGGAATTGTAGCTTTTTAATACAGATAACTATACACTGTGAGCTAGCTTCACGTTGAAGGATGCTCATCTGTGATTTTGTTGTTGTTGCTAGTTTGCAAATGCAAATTTGTTAGCAGGGTTGTGCTCTCCTCAGACCGTAAGTGGTTGGCAGGGCTGTCTTCCTACTGTTCTAAGTGTGTGTGTTAATTTATTGCAAAATGTGTGTTACTTTACCTGGGCCTACATTTTGTTTTCCTGATTTTTGTTTGTTTGTTTGTTTGTTTTCTTAACTATAATCCTAAAATTCTTTTGAATCTGGCTTCTTGGTTCTAACCTTTGGTTGACAATTCCTGGTCACACTTGGGTGGTTTTGTCAGCCTGTTTCTTCTTGGGAGTAGACATGAGCCAAAAACATACTTCTGACCATGTCAAGGTTATAAGACAGGAATCTTTCAATGTGAGTTTTGGAGTGTTGGATTTAAAAAAAAAAAAACAAAAATTGAAACAAAACAAAACAACAAAACTCACTAGAACCAGAACCATGGATCTCTTAAGCATTCTTTTCTGTGTTGGACTTTGTTATGGCTATTGTAGACTCGTAGCTTTTTCTGTGTGTGTGTGTGTGTGTGTGTGTGTGTGTGTGTGTGTGTGTGTGTGTGTGTATTCCAGAGGTAGACGGTAATTATCTTCCTCAGTTTATCAACACCTTAATTTCTGTGTCTCTCACTGGTCCAAAGGTTACCAGTTAATCTAGATTGGCTCCTGTCTCTCCTCCCAAGTGGCAGAATTCCAAGTTCATGCCAGTACAACCAGCACTTTTATGTGAGTTTTGGGGACAAAACTGCAGTCCTCACGTTTGTGAGGCAAGCATTTTACTTCCCCTGACCCATAATGTTTCAGTTATGTTCTCTGCTTGTGAGGAAGACTTACCAGGGATGGACTCAGCTCGTTGTTGATTGCCGCTATCCACACTCCCACCGGGCCATTCGTCCTGCGTATTTTTGCAATCTGGAGGTAAGTATGTGGGGTTACAGTGGCAATGCTTCTTGTTATTACACACCTAAAAAACAGCATAAAGTCATAGGCTAAGACCAGGGAATCTGCAAACTAATGTTTATGTAAGATAACGTCCGTTTCCCTGTGTGGCACATCATTGGGAGGGAGAAAAGCATGCTGGGAGCAGGGAGGAAAGGAGTGAGGGGAGGGACTCAGCCCTGGCTCTCCTGAGCAGTTCCAATGGCTTCCCTTTCTCACTCACAGGTCTGCTACTTACACCATGATTGTTGCAGGTTTCTGGTTTGCAGTCATAGTCATAGATTGTGTCTTCTACACATTCTTTATTCTGGCAAACCTAGAATGGACAAGGTAACATATGCCAGCTAGATTCACCACTTAATTAAAAGCATCCCATACTCTCTTAAGATAGGAACCACCCTGAAATACCACCCCATCCTAGTTAAACTGGCTATTGATTAAGTGACAGGGTTCAAAAAATTTACACACAACACACGGGTGTGACAAAGAGGGGAACTTTCAGTAGTGCTAGTGGAAATGTACATTGGTTCTTATGCAAAGTGTATGAAAAATCCTTAAAGTAAATCCATAAGAAAAAGACTTGGAGCTATCCTGGGTTCCAACAGTCCTGCAACTGGGTACACACCCAAAGGAAATAAAGTCAGGTTGTTGAAGAGACACATGTACTGTCCTGTCCTGTCCTGTTTATGGCCATTTTTCAAAATGGCCAAGAGATTTCACCAATTTCACTGCCATCAATAGACAGAGGGATAAAATGTGGTATATATGCTATATAAGAAAAATGTATCAATGTAGCTATCATACAATATTAAAAACCAACCGATTATAAATTATCATAAATAATATATAAGAATGCATATTGAAATTGTTATTTGGCCACAAAAAAAAGGAAAGCAACCTTGTGGCAACACGAGCATTGTGTGACCCCAAGTAGAGTTCTCTGAGGGGCTGGATGCAGTGAAGGAAAGATGAAGAAAGGTTTGCTAACAGGTAAAATGTTAGTTAGAAGGGTGAGCTCTGTCACTGTCCTGCACAAAAGGGCGACTGGAATGAACTATGACTTGTTACATATGTCAAGTGAAAAACGAGAAATGCTTAAAAGATAGACACACCAACTGCTCTGATTACATCATTGAAAAGGTGTTTACATGTTTTGAAAATATCACATCGTGCCCGTAATATGCACAATTATTACATAAGAATGAAATAAAATTGCTAACAAAAGCATTCTCAATATGGAGCCAGGCCCCAAACACTGGAAGAAGCAGATTTTCCCTACCCCTAATTTGCAACAACCACAGCAGAAATCCTAAAGAGCAGAAAGAAAACAGAAAAATGCGGCCCTTTCGGCAGGAGGACACAAGTGTAGTTTTATGCGGATATAATTAACTTCCTGAAAAGTCGCTAGCGGGGAATGCAGAGGAAGAACTGAAGTAAAGGGGGACGATGGCAATGAGATTGGCATAAAGGGAGGCTATATATAAAGGAAGAGACCAAAGTGTGCAGGGCACCGCGCAGAGACTCTAGGTATAGAGAACACAGCGAGGGGACCGGAGACTCCACTGCACGGGCTGAACAGCAGGTGTGGGAGGCATGGATGAACCGTCCTGAAGACAGTGGGTTTGAAGCTAAAGGGTCTAAGGAATGGAGAAAAGCAAACCCGAAAAGTGAACAGTGCCGACAGGCTGCAAGGAGCGCCATCGAGCAGCCTAGTGTGTGGGACATGATTTTGCCCCATGATTTTTCTTTTATTCATTTTGTCATCCTTGACATTAAGTGAGGGATGACCCACTGACTGTTAATATAATCGCAGACAGAGAAAGGCCTTTTTTTTTTTTTTTTTTTTTTTTTGACATTTTAGTCTCTCACTTCCTCAGATATTGCCATAAAAATTACGACCCAAATCCCAACTGGACAATCTGCTTGCAGAGCTCGCGATCAGGGGAAGTAGTCACAACAGTCTGCTTTCAGGGGTAAGCCTGCCACATCACTGCCGTTGAATTTGTTTCTCCTGTGTTTTACTCGGAGTTAATGGTTTAATCTTCATTGTGTATACATATGGTGTACAGCATACTAGTTTGTCATACAATAGAATGGGAATATTTCATTTGGGAAACAAAATTGTGGATCTGTCTCCGTCTGTGTCTATCTTCCTTCTGACCATAAAATGGAATATCACTCAGGCTTTAAAAGGAAGGCAGTTCTCACTTTGGTGGTGTGGACGAGCCATAATGTTAAGTGACATCACACAGGCACGGAAGGACATGTACTTCCTGACCTTACTTATGTGTGAAAACTAGGAGGGCTGTAGAGACCGACAGGAGGTCAGTGGTGGAGAGAAGAAAATGCAGAGAAATCATGTGAGCTTGCAGGGCTATGACTTACAGATGTGAAGGATGATAGAGGATGAGTAAATCTATGTATATAATGAACAATGTGGGGACTGCAGTTGATATTGTATGCCTAAAGTGTGATGATAGGACAGACCTGAGACCTTCTTACAGTATCACATGCACAGGGTAATGCACATGAGAATGGAAATCACAAGCGTGTATTCTAGTTTCATGTCTGTTGTGATTAAAAAAAAAAATGTCCTGACCAAAAGGAATTTAGAAAAGGAAAGAATTTGCCAGTTTTGCAATCTCTTGTTATAATTCATCCCTGAGGGCAGGAACTACAGTAGCTGCTCACGATTATGGGTGGGAACCCATAATCGAGAACAGGGGGAATGGATGCACGTAGGGCCTTCTTGCTTCTAGGGAATGGAGCTGCCCACAGGGGGCTTGCCTTTCCACACCAATTAAGAATCAGCATAATCCCCCACAGACACCCTTGAGCCAACCTGATCTAGATAATTCCTCATTTGAGACTCTTCCCAGGTAGCAAGTTGACAGCTAAAACTAACCACCACATGCTAGTTAGATTTGCCTGTGTTTTGTTGTGTTTTTATTTTTGCTTTACTCTATGAAATATTATTTTTGACATTATTTAAGGATAATTATACCAAAAGATCATTCATCATAGCAGAAGAGCTCTCTGTTGTAGCATCCTGAAAATGGAACAGCGTGCAGTGGGTGAACCACATGATTATCTCTTCTGGAAATTTGTGTGACTTCCACAAAAAAGCACAAAGCAGCCAAGAATATATCGATAGCAGCAGCAGCAGCTGTGCAGGATCAATGGCTTTATTCTATTTTATTTCGAGTTTTGATCTTATTTTCCAAAATTCATTGTTGATTGCATGCTTACATTTTGAAAGAGCACGTTACCCGGCATATGTATTAATATAGACTTAGAACTGTGGAGTTACTTGGGAGAGATCATACTACACTGGGAATACAGGGGGGAGATCATACTACACAACCCTGAGAGGTTACTGGGGAGAGGTCGCACTACACAACACTGGGGGTACTGGGAGAGGTTACCTACCTTGTTGGAGTCGCAGACAGTTCCGTCCTCCACCCACATACTCTGGTTGTCTTTATAACCAGGGTTAAACTCCAGGGAAACACAGATTTCTCCACTTATATTGGCATAAATTACAGTGGCATATCTCATTTTAAGTAAATTTTCACTTCTGTATTTACATATTAATTTCCCACACTTCCGGTTACTATAATTTACAGATAAATGAAAGCCATTATTTTAATAGAGAAATATTTTAATACAATTTCAAAAACAAACAGATTTAAATTAAACATTGCAGATGGCAACTAATTTTGAACAACACACAAAGGTTCCTCCCTGGATTGTTAACAATAATGAACAAATTGATTATGAACTCTTCAGTTAGCTAGATTACCATTTGTGATTTTTCGCCTGTGTTTTATCCTTAAACACAATAAAATCCAAGCATATTCTAACTTTTAAGAATGAGCAATTGGCCTCCTCACCAGCCTGATTGGGTTCCCTTTTTGGTTTGACAACTGATAAACTACTGACATCCACATCCAAAAAGCATCATATAGCGTGCATACTATTACAATAAAATAATAAATGCATGTACACCCTAATGGTGGTGCCAAAGAACCCAGCGAAAAGCATAAGCACAATGCAACAATAAGCATGATAAAAATGAAGACTGTTGGTCAGACAAACAAGAATGTAGACCACAGAACTATGAAATGGTCTGGTCAACAAGGCAAAAGAAGTAAGCCATCTTCCTGCTCTACAAACAGAGAACACTCGTCAGTGAGGGAAGTCATCTCCTATATAAATGGTTTTCATAACAACTGCCTGGCAAGATGGTCGTTGAAGACACTTTCCCTCCACCCTCCAGTCAACTAGCATGTCATCTTCTACCACCTCTTTTCCTCTGGACTAACTGGCTTCCATGTGTGAGGAGACCAAGACCTTGCACAGTAAAAGGACGCACACTTATCCATAAGAAGAATTGCAGACTCAGCAAAGGGAAGTGAGAGACTGTCAGGGGCACTGCTCTTCACTCTTAGCCTGGAAAAGGGCTGGTGTTGCACGATAATTAAAAGACCCAGAGACAAATATTGGGGTTCAAGCTTCAAGCTGAAGACCAAAAAAGCAAAGCAGCTGGTCACTAGCTCTTACTCTATCTCAGAATGAAAGGCCATCCTGGCTCCACCAAACCTCAGACTGTAATCTCTCCTCACCATGGCTGAAGACTCCGGAGGCTTCAATGCCTTCCTATCCTCAGTGTGGCTGGAGAATGAATCTCTGGTACTGACTACTGAAGACCCTGCTCCTATCTTTTATACCCTTCTAGTGCTGGGATTTAAGGCATCTGATCCCAGGTGCTGAGATCATCTTTGTGTGAGCTGTTTCTCTTTAGGACTGGACCAATCTTGTGTAGATCTGGGTGGCCTTAGACTCATAGACATCCATCTACCTCTTAATTCTGAGTCCTAGGATTAAAGGTGTGCACAACCACCACCCAACTTCTGGCTACTGGGATTAAAGGTGTGTATCATCACCTTCAGCTCTATAGTTTGAGGCTGGCTTTGCTTTCTGAATTCTCAGTCAAGCTTTCATAAATCATAAATAATATATCTCCACAAGTTGGCCATGAAAACCAGTAACCCTGATACTGGAGAAGCCTTTCATGCTTTGGTGCACAGTATAGAAATTTCTCAACCTGTATCCCTTTGAGACCAGCAATCTCAGCGAGGCAATGGACACCAAAAACTTAAGGGAGTCACTCAAAGGATCTAGGTTACATTCTTTAGGAAGAAGCACAACTATGAGAGAAAGCATGGCGAGACACAGGTCTACGGAGCAAACCTGTAACCACAAAAGATAGAGACCAAACACTGGAGACTTCAGCAAATTTTGTGTGCACACAACACACAACACACACACACACACACCACATATACACACAGCATGCATAATGTCTAAGCCACACTTTGAACAATTATTTCACCACTCAGCTAGTGTGACAGACCGTTGCTTCTCTGCCAACCACTTTAATGTTCCCTCTTCACATGTAGGGTTTATTAAAACACACAGACGTGGAATCACCTCACTTTGTAAAAGCATCCTTTTTTTTCCCCCAGCAACCATCTTCTCATAAAGAAATAAAACACAGAGTGGCAAAGGATAGAGAAAAAATCACGCCCAGCCAGATTGGTTCAACTGGGACAACAGCCCAGATGTGTGGGAAATGGCAGGGAGCCTCTTTCTGCATCCCTGACATCTGTCACTGGATTAAACATGTCAGGATTCATGGTCAGGTGTTACTTTGCTTCCATATGAAAGTAACTGTGATATTGTCAGGGGTAAGGTGATAGAGTCTGGTCACATTTCTTAAGGCATACTTAGGTGTGAGGTCATGTCTTCTTCATGACACCCTTTCAAACAAAAGAGAAAAACCCACAAGCCCAGATCCTTGGGAAGTCTCTAGGGTGCCAAAACTCAGGTGCTTGTAGGCAGCCCTGAGGTGTGTCTATAGCTCACTGCCACATGCCATCATATGTCAGGAACACATGCGTTTAAGTACTGGTGAGACTCTGGTCATGGCCTTACAGGTTCTTCATTAATGTTTTTCTTTGCTGTACTTTATTTACTTTTAACTCTATAAAGAATGTCCATTCTTGGGGCTGCAGAGATGGATCAATTAATTGTTAGGATCACTAGCTGCTCTTCTAGAGGACCCAAGTTTGATTCCCAGCACCCACATGGGTAGCTCACAATGGTGACCTCTGTTCTAGCCTCCCCAGGCATCAGGCATTGCAAGTGGTACTCAGACATATATGCAGGCAAAACATTCACACTTATAAAACGAATAAACAGAAATGTACAAAGAAGACTGTCCGTGTGTGTGTGTGTGTGTGTGTGTGTGTGTGTGTGTGTGAATGTGTATATGATGGTTGAACTGCCTGTGTGCATGTGTGTCTTTATCCCTCTCCACCTTGTTTTGTGAAACAGGGCTACTTAGGGAGTCCCTGGGGTCCACTTGTCACTTGTCACTGCTCCCTAGTGCTAAAGTTACATAAGTATGCCACGTGTCCATTCTTTGTAAAATTAAGAAGAAAGCATACAAAATTTTAAAAAACTGAATACTTATGATTGATAAATGGACCTTCATAAAAATAAAACATAGAGTGGCAAAAGATAGAGAACAATTCAGGCCCAGCCAAGTTAGTTCAACCAGGACAACAACCCAGATGTGTGGGAAATGGCAGGGAGCCTCTTTCTGCATCCCTGACATCTGTCACTGGATAAACCTGCCAGGATTCATGGTCAGGTATTACTTTGCTTCCATATGAAAGTAACTGTGACATTGTCAGGGGTAAGGTGACAGAGTCTGGTCACGTTTCTTAAGGCATACTTAGGTGCGCAGGCCGTGTACCCCGAAGGGCTGATACCACAGTTCCCAGTTATGTCAGTTTTGGAATTCAGCTCATTGTAGCATTCATTTGTACCAAAGTCTGCATCTGGAAGGTAAACAGAAAAGTGTTATTATGTCTAATGTTTAATCTTTTGCATTAAACTAGGTAATGAACACTTTCAAAGTTCTGAGATGGTTCAAAATATACTGTGCAAAATACAAACACAAAATAAAAGGCATATGGACATTGGTACAAAACCATTTCAGTCAAATACTCCCAACTTGATGTATCCTGCATAGAACCTAATATGTAATGCTAATGACCCCATACCTATAAACAAGAAAGCCAGTTTTGTTTGTTTGTTTTAACAATTGACTTACTGGTGAATAAAGGTGGGATTTTCCCCCCATAAATGCTTCAATTATCCTAAGACACAAACTACCTAGAGAACAGTTTCTGTTTTCAACCCCCATCTATTCTACTCTTGTTGAAACCTCTGACTGGGACTTGACAACTGCATTGCCTAGTGACAACTGCATTGTCACTAGTTGCTCGGTTAAGTTGCCTAGAGATGCCAGCGAACCCAAAGTGAGTGGTTTAGTTTGTCTCAGAAATCATTTGCTAAGTTTGTTGTGGGTAAGAAGTGTAGATTTTGAGCCTGGTTAGGGCAGCAAACTGTTGCTTATGGACCAGAAAGCAGGCAGAACCTGAGTGTTTTAAACAGGGACAGTATTAGACTCTGCATACCCAATTGACTCCCTTCCAGATTCTTCCCAAGTAAACCTGGGCAACATAGGAGATCAGCATGTAGAGAGATGGCTTTGGAAGCATCATGGTTTCACAACTGCCTGTGTATGCATCAAAGAACAAAACTGAAAACCCTGGACACCCATGGGTTTGACAGATGGAAACAACCTTCTCCAAATGCTAACCCAAGTCCAATGAATATCAATTGTCAACAAATAGAGAATGAATCTAGACAACTGGCCTCTCCTTTTAGGCCTAGCTGAGTGAAAACATAGGCAGCAGCATCTGAAACCTGCACAGCTCAGACAGGTCTTTTCAACATCATCTGTGGAGGAGCGAAGGCTGGACAGCAACTTCTGACTAAAGGTATGCTTCTGCAATTTCACCCAGGAATAAACAGAACGAAGACAGCTAGCTGCATTAAAATAACAGTGCAAGCGCCTTGATGTATACATGGAAAAAAATATCCCCAAGGATGCACTCTACGAGAAAAATAAGTACCAGAAATAAATGGGGTGGAGAGATGGTTAAGAATTCTGACTTCTCTTTCAGAGGTTGAGGTTTGATTCCCAACACCCATGCACATAAAATAAAAATAAATCAGATCCCCAAAAGTACCAAAAATAGAAATGCAAGTAATTCTAGGTGAACAGATATAAGCATATGTTTGATTTTTGAGGTCTATGTGATAATGTAACACTTAGTTCATTGTTCCAAGAAACTCAGAGAACACTAAACAATAAGTTCACAGTTGGACCAACACGAGGGCTCAGCAGTTAGAAGTGTTTGCCACTTGATTTGACTTGATTTTAATCCCCAGAACCAACTGAGGGGAGAGGGAACGAGATCCTAAAAGTTGTTTTCTGACCTTCATATGTGTTCCGTGGCACACACAAACCTGCACAAATACACCACACACACACACACACACACACACACACACACACACACCATATTATTGTTGGCAGAAAAACAGCAGCAACAGAACAAAAAAAAAAAAAATTAACCAACCAACCAAACAAAAACCAGAGAAATTTGTGATCAAAGTACCTACCCATGCCAAATACATTACGGCACTGTTCTGCTCCGTTCTTACACAAGCCTTCAACACAGATCCACTGTGTCTGACATGGGTGCCCATTGTGAACATAGAAGTCTTCCTCACATGTTGCAGAGGTGCCGTTGCAATACTCTGTGACATCACAGTCCCCACGGGAAATCCTGCATACTTCCCCTTTTGCCTTTACCTGATGGGTAAAGTGAATCACATGAATAAAGTTTTGTTTTGTTTTTTGAGACAGGGTTTCTCTGTATTGTTTTGGAGCCTGTCTTGGAACTGGATCTGTAGACCAGGCTGGCCTCGAACTCACAGAGATCTGCCTGTCTTAGCCTCCCAAGTGCTGAGATTAAAGGCATGCACCACCGCCCAGCTGAGAGGCACTCTAGAAACTCCTGGGTCATGGAGAAATAAATGCTCTTACTGACACACCAGCACAGATAGGTGATCTATTAGGGCCTCACCCGAGATGAAGGCAATTCATGACCACTGAGAGAGGGAAGACTCCATCCCTCCAGGGATGAGTCACCTAACTGATTATTCAAAGCCAAGTGGTTAACCCTGACAATATCTATACAAACAACAGTAAATGAAGTCAGCATACTGAATGTATGTATTTATGCATTTGCATGTAAATATATACATACCAACAATAATTAAATAAAAAGAAGTCATGAATTAGAGAGTGGAATGCTTGCGGGAGGACTTGGAGGGAGGAGGGGGAAGTGATCTAAACATATTGTACATATATGAAATTTAAAATAATTAAAAAACACACTGTTAAATTATGTGCTGCTTGTAGCACATTTAAACTATAACGTAATAGGAACACTATTTCTGTTTCAGGTATCTCATACAACCCATACATTCTTGTTTTAATTCTTAAGGAATGAATGTTTGGGATATTATAGAAATGCAAAAGAAAAATACTTGTTTGTGGTTGAAAGATTTTGTTGATAAAACTCTGACATTTCTGGTGGAAAATGTGTACAATGGAATGAAAGATTTAAAATGATTTTCTTAAGGATAGAAATGTCTGGAGACCTCCTCGGTGTCCCTCCCCTTGGAGCTTGGGGAGGGGGTCTTGAAGAGGAGGAGAAGGTAGGAGCCAGAGGGGTTGAGGGCACCAGGAGAACATGGCCCACAGAATCAGCAGGGGCTCAGTCAAGCATGGCTCATGCAGGCTGGCAGAGACTGAAGCGGCAAGCACGGAGCCTGCATGGGTCTGCACTAGGCTTTGCACACACGTTTTGGTTGTTAAATTAATGGTTTTTTGGGACTCCTAACAGTGGAGTATGTCTGTGCTTGTGTGCTCTTGGGACCCTTTTTCTACTGGGTTGCCTTGCCCAGTCTTGATATGAGGGTGTGTGCCTGGTCTTTTGTGTCTTGCTATGCCATATTTGGTTGATATCCCTAGGAGGCCTGCTCTTTTCTGAAGGGAAATGGAGGAGTGGGGCTGGGTGGCAGGGGAGTGTGTGTGTGTGTGGTGTGTGTGTGTGTGTGTGTGTGTGTGTGTGTGTGTGTGTGCTGGATAGGGGACTGGAAGGAGTGGAGGAGCGGAAACCGTGGTCAGGGTGTATTGCTTGAGAGAAGAAGAAAAAAAAAAATAAAGTAAATTTGGAAAAAAGAAATTACAAATTAATCTTGAAAAGGAAAATATAGTAATACGAGTGATACGAAAACAAACCAACTGACAAGTGCAAAAGAAAAAAAAAGAATATAAATGTCAACACTCTGCTCGGGTCTGAAGAGATGGCTCAGTGGTTATGGTGAAGAGCAGTGTCTGTCCAGAGAACCCAAGTTCAGGGCCCAGCACTCACACCACAGCTTACAACCATCTGTTATCCAGTCTCAGGGGACCCTATGCTCTCTTCTGGCCTCTGTGGGAGGCACATGGTACTCAGACAAAACACCCATACACATAAAAAATCTTAAAAAAAAAAAAAGTAAAAAGAAAGAAAAGACTCTTACTTGACAGTTCAAATCACAGCACGGTCCCTCAGCACACCCTGAACCGGTTGTCAGCTGGCAGGTGTCAGGATCACAGCAGGAAGGGTTGTTACAGCTCTGAAAGGTAAATCACAGCCTGAAGAGTCTCCCTGCATCCATTCCCGCTGGGCAGACATTTTAATGGCGGCATACTATAGAGCCTGCAGACAGATGCTTGCCTTTTGTATTGGCAAACAAAAAAGAAACTGAGTTACTTCTTCCTATCCCACAGACACTGACTAACTCCTGCTAAGTGCTACACCCTAGTTGTTTCTATTCCTAGGACAGGATGTGCTGTGTTGGGAATATAATCCTCTGATTCCATAGGGTCCATCGCAGCAGAGTCAATGAGGCAGTCTCTGGCTCTTGTAGACAAAAGGCCAAGTAAATATAAGATATAAGATGGACAGAAGCTATCTATGGTTGGGTCTTATGTGAAAAGTTTGAGTCTCAATAATGTATGTCTCAATAACAGTTTAAAGACTTCTTCTTTTTAAAAATACTCTAGGAATGTCTGTGTGTTTTCTGTGTGTTCACACAAGAGAGTGCATGTGCCTATACATGTAATGCATGAGTGTAGGTGCCTCCAGAGGCCAGAGAGGGCGTCAGATCCCTGGAGCTGGAATTACAGATGATTTTGTGAGTCATTGTGTGGATGATGGGAACTGCATTTAGGAACACTGAAGAGCAGCAAAGAGTCAAAATTTATGACCCATCATTTTTTAATTTTGAGACTTAGTCTCATTAGTCTATGCTGGCCTCAATGGCATTCAGTTAAAGCTGGCCTTGAATGCCTGGTATTTCTGCTTCCATCTTGCCTCCTAGAGTACTAGGATTGTAGGAAAAACTACCACATTTGGCAGTTTATTTCAATTTTAATTTTAAGAAGGTCTAGAAAATGAAGTAGTATCTGAACTTGACTGGTTGTTATTTTTGTATCATTTACTTCTATTTTATGCTCTATGAATCTGCTTTAATAGCTTTGGCTATTAGGGTTAGTAAGTAAACATAAGAAAGGAGAGGTCATTTTCAGAACACACACACACACACACACACACACACACACACACACACTTTTAATCCCCAGGGATTTGAAATGGTAAATTGGGAAAACATTCATTAAGTAGGTAAGAGTCAGCTGTGGAGATCGGTAGTCTTAGAATGACTTCCAGTAAGATTCTCATTAGGGCACAGGAATGTTTCTGTGTTTCAAACAGCTGGTCTGCCCAGTGAATGTTATTGCTGTTGCTCACTACATGGACTCCTACAGGGAAGGGAATATCATAGTGTTAGAACTCAACTAGATAACATGCAATGACACTAAGACACATTGTAGTTAAATTTGAGTGGGAAGTTTCAATGTGTTTCCATTTAAGCCAAACCAAACAAAAAAACTCTAGGATGATGGGCAATAATTTCTTAAAAACACATTATTGTGGGGAAGAGAAAGTGTCAGTGAAGGATTGCCTAGGTCAGGTTGGCCTGCAAGCATATCTGTAGAGGAATGTCTGTCTTGATCACATCAGTCGTGGGAGGCTGTGTTCATTGTGGGTGGCATCATCCCATAGGTTTGGGTCCTGTACTGCACAGGTAAACTTGTAAGCAATCATTCCCTGTGGATGTGTCCAGCTTCACCAGGTTCGTGCTGTCTTGACTTCCCTGCAGTGATGGACTACAATTTGAAAATAAACCCTTCTCTTATAAGTTGCTTTGTCAGTGTATATTATTATAACAACAGGAGAGGAAACGGGACATATTTAAGCATCAGAGATACAAGTTTTCTATTGGGAAGGGCACATACCAGTGACCTCAGCCAATACACAGAGAATCCTGAACACTTGCTTCCCGGTTCCCCAAGGACACAGTACTCTCAGCAGGTGTGACAGCAGCTTGCTTGCCTTTCACTTTATCTATCTAGTTTATCTTGTTTAGCTTTGCTCTATTTTTCCTCTTCCCTCTAAACTCAAGTTTTGATATTTATTTGGTTTGGAAAAATCTCCCTGTGGTTATAGGTATATTTCAAAAAGTTTTGAATTAAATATTGAATTTAAATTGGTAATTAAATATTGGTAAAAGGCCAATATGATTCCATGACCAAATTCCAAATGTGTCACCCATATTTTCTACTTCACGGCAATGAGTTTGAGGCAAAGGCTAGACAAGAGTGCCCAAGAGGAAGAGAAGGACTTCCTTCCACTCAAAGACGGGACTTAATGACCTTTAAAATGGCTTGTTTGAGAAATTAGAATGGAAGAGGCATGGAAGGGAGGGATGGAGACACAGTGGTCCAGGGATGTGACATGCAGATAAGTACAATGACTGTTCTGCAGGTCTAGTGCTCAGTAGTGTGACTGTAGTTAACAGACTGTATCGTACATTTTCAGTGTGCTAAGAGGTGGCACCCTAATTCTTACAGAAGAGACAGGAAAGATATTGCATGGCATGGATTGAGAATCTTTCCACTCTCTGAGGGTTGAGGACAAAGAGTTTATTTGAACTTACCCTTTCTCCCCTAAGTGGCTTTTGTCAGGATATTGTATCTCAGGAACAGACATGAAATTAAGACAAAACCCTTGTAAGATGTACTTAATATGAATTTCAGTGCTTGCTTTCCAGTATGTAGATAAGGGAATTACTCATACTGTTGCAAGAAAATATATTCATGCAAAGCACTTGAAAATTGTTCCTAATTCTTAATAGGAGATAAGGGAAAGGGGAGGAGAGGGGATGAGGAATAGGGGTGGGGAAAGGACAGAGAGAAGGGAGAGGAGAGAAGGGAGGGGGAGGAGAGTGAGGGGTGGAGGGAGAGGAGAGGCAGGAGGGAGATGGAGAGCTCATAAGCCAGGCCCAAGCCTGCAATCCCAGCACTCAGGAAGCTGGAGCAGGAGAGCTGTTTTGAGTTTGAGGCCAGCATATGCTACACAGAGATATCCTGTATTAAGAAATAAAAAATAAAAAATAAAAATAAGTGCATGCTGATGATGCCAGTTGACAGACTTAGCTATGGTGGCTTTCATATGGCATGTATCCATTGATTGTCAAAGTCACCGACTTGCACATGCTGAGTGTGCACCATTTCTTTAGGTGTCAACTCTATACCAAATAAGGGTGGAATAAAAAGCAAATGTATTTGTATGGATAATCTACCAATCAGTGAACCATGCCAAGACATTAGTTCACCCTTGAGTCTGTCTGTCCCTTGCAAAGGCCTTGGTAGAAGGATGACTGTGAGGAATGAAGCAAATTGGCAGAGGGACAGTATGGATGTTCCTGAATACTGTGGTTTGGGTCACACCCTCCTGAAGCAGCACTAACCATTCCGCAGTCGCAATCTTCCCCTTCTTCCAACTTTCCATTCCCACAAACTTTCGCCTTGTATGATGGCTGTAGCTGCGGCTGATTCTGGAGACAGTAGGAGTTTTGACTTGAGATAAAGTTGGAGAAATCCTCCTTGCTGCAGTTACTGAATGCCTTTACACCGGTGGAGTGACTGAAAAGAGCCCAAAAGGCAAACGTCTGTGTTAAGACTTCCCACCAGCCACCTACCCTTAGAATATAAGTTATTAGTCAGGAAGATCGCACTCCAGGGTGTACCTGGATCTGTGCACAGAGATCAGCTGTTATTGGAGAACTCCTGCTAAATCCTTTAGTAGAATAAGTAGCATAAAATTCTACTGATATTAACATGGCAAATTTTGGGTGACACTGGTCTCATGGTTTAGTGTCTACCTTACACGTCACTTCATTTTGTAAGCTGTTGCTTCCTTTCCCTACTAGAACTGCTGAACTTTGGAACAGCCCCATCTTAAGGCCAACAGTCTTTACCTCTCATTATCTATACTTGGTCAGAGGTGATTTCCTCCAGCCTGGTTCCATAGTTTTTCAGTAACTCCTACATCTCTATCTTCTACCTTAAAACCTGAACTCTGTAAGTCTAGCAAGAAACTCTTTTTGTATGTATGTATATGTGTATGTGCCTATTCATATGTATACAGGTACGTGTGTGTGTGTGTGTGTGTGTGTGTGTGTGTGTGTGAGCAGTCAACCTCAGGTTTATGTGGGGCCAGGCAGGGCAAGAATCCTGTTTGACCCAGGTTCCTGTGCTGTAACACTGACTTAGGTCTTTGGTCAAGATGTAGATGCTATAACATTAACACTGCATATTCAGAGGCAAGCAAGCATGAGGAAGAAGCATGTGGAATTATATGAGCACAAAACGCAGGTGATGCTCCGAGTCACTGCGCTTCACCCTTACTGCATTCAACCAACCATGCATGGATCAATAGTGCTGGGGAGAGCTTGTATCTGCTGAAAGAAAACAAGACAGATTTCCTTGGCCCTGCCTCCCGAACAGCACATCATGGCAGATATTTGCCTAACACCAGCTTGAGACCTGACACATGCATTATCTAGAGAAGTGGATATACAGATGGATGTGCATAAGTAATTTGCAGCTTTGTGAGGGACTTGTGCATCTGAGGATTTGAGAAACCTCACATCCATGAGGGCTGTCTTAAATTAACTGATGAAGGAAGAAGACATCTTACATTGCTGGTTGTGAGCCTAGCTTTTAAGGACTGAACCATCTCTCGAGCCCGAAAGAAGACATTTTAATTGTGGACAGGACCAATCCCTGAGCACGGCTCCTGGACTGTGTAAAGTGGATAGTGTGGCTGAGCATTAGCACACAAAATTACTTCCTTCCTCTCTGCCCTTGACTGTGAATGCAATGTGCTCAGCTGTCTGTCCTGCCACAACAGAAAGTAGCCTGAAATGTGAGCTTGAATAGGCCCTTTCTCCTTTAAGTTGCTTTGGTCAATGAGTTTTAACACAGTAACAGAAAGAAAAGTAAGACAATGTTCTTGTAAGAGATACTTAAATATTAGGCACTTCAGTTCCCCTTTCTAATGCGGAGACAAAGGCACTATATCTCCTAAAGTGATGAGAATATAATTCATGCAAAGCACTGAAAACTCAGTCATGGGACAGACATTCCAGTCAGCAAGTTGGGCAGGACAAAATAGTGAAAGCATCCATATCTCACCAATCCTGTGTCTGCAATGAAATACTTTCAACTCCATCTACTAATGACATTCTCCACGACAGTCTCCCGTTCCCAGACTTTACCGTCTCCTACTGGTTAAGGCAGGAGACTAACTGAACAGGAGTTTCTATGCTTGTTCTCTGTGCATAGAACATTAGCAGTTTGTCTGACCTCTTGTACAGATCACTTGTAGTTTCTTATCAGAGTTAAATCTTCATGGCCTCAGCCCATATCTCCCAGTTATCTCATTCCCCCCACCCAGTTCACACTGCTCAACATCCTCCTTGTTGACTCCTCTGCCAGACTGAGCCTTTACGTTCACACCCTCTACCTGAAAAGCTGTTGCTCAGTTTACACGGAAGGTTCTCCCTTACTAACAAGGGGATGGTTTCTCAGCACACACTTAAAATATCACTGCCTTTGCTAGTCTTCACTCTCTTTACTGACATTGCCTCTAAGGCACTTCTCAGCCTGAAAACTCCTGATTTTTTTTTTTTTTTCCCTGAGACGGGGTTTCTCTGTGGCTTTGGAGCCTGTCCTGGAACTAGCTCTTGTAGACCCGGCTAGCCTCGAACTCACAGAGATCCACCTGTCTCTGCCTCCCAAGTGCTGGGACTAAAGGCGTGCGCCACCACTGCCTGGCGAATACTCCTGATTTAACTGGTTTTCTTCCAGCATAGCATAGGAGGATTATAATTATTTGTTTAAAAATGAAGCAGTGAGTCAGGCATGGTGTCATTCACCTGTCACCCTAACCCCTGAAAAGCAGAGGCAGAAGTAGCAAAGCAAGTTCAAGACCAGTTTGGTCTACACAGCAAATCCCTGGAAGGTAGTATAGACTCTGTCTCAAACAGAGTCTATAAACAATAGACTCTGTTTATATATAAACAGAGTGATAAATAAACAAACTGATCAAGGCGGTAAACAGAAAAGGAGTATGATTGAAGCTACCTGCTTAAATAATAGGGTTTTTAAAAGGTATTTTATTATGATTTTCCTTATTCTCAACAATAACAGTTGATTACAGTTAATAACAATATTATTCTCAATAATAACACTATTATGATCATAAGCATTGGCAACTCAGTAGTGGGCATGGCTACCATGAAGCTATTCAGATATGGGCAATTAGACCTGATGATTTCAAGGCCTAACCCCCTGTATTACTGTACAAAGCTGTTCTAGACATTAGGATGACCAAGGGAGGTTATTGAACAGATCACCAATGTTGCATTTGTGTGTGGGCACAGCCTGGTTTGAACATAGTTTTCAGTTATATTACATATACATGATGAAATTGATTATACACTTCCAACCACTGTCACATGGTTTCTATTTGTGTGGGGGGGCATATGGGTCACGACACACATGTGGCAGGTTAGAAGACAACTTGCAGGGTTCGGATCTTCCTGACTGAGTGGATCCAGGGAGGGACTGAACTTAAGTCATCAGGTGTGACAACTAATGTTGTTATGGCCAACCCATCTCACCAGCATGGTTTCTGTCTGAGTACCAGGGAGCAAAGGGAGGAGAACAACAGAGAGATGGCAGGATAGCCCAGTGGCTAAAGTTGCTTACTGCACAAGCCTGGCAGCCTGAGTTCAATCCTTGAGACCCACATAAAGACGGAAGAAAACAATTCAGAGTTCTCCACATGTATTCTGTGGCGGGTGCACCCCTCATACATCCATCATGAGCAACCACCCAAACACACACAGACACACAAGACACACACAGATACACACAGACACACACAGATACACAGACATACAGGCACATACACACACACACAGATACACACACACAGACACACAGACATACATACACACAAACAGACATACACACACACAGACACACACACAAATACACACAGACACACAAACAGACATACAGACACACACAGACACACACAGATACACAGACATACAGGCACACACACACACACAAATACACACAGACACACACACACACAAACAGACATACAGACACACACACACACAGACACACACAGATACACACACACAGACATACACACACAGAGACATACAGACATACACACACACACACACACGTTAAAAAGGACGTTCAATAGGACTTTCAAAGGCTAAGGAACACAGCTTCCCATCCGTGTGCTGACATGTATGTGACTGTTCTGTGCGGACAGAATGGACGGATGCTGTTACTGGAACATAGCGTGAATGGCAGCTTGTGCAGGCAGTGAGCAGTTTTATGGTTCCAATCATCCAATAGACTTACTGGGTGCTTTCTTTCTCTTTCTAGCAATCAAGGTGCTTCAGGCCCTGGCTCCAGGTCTTTGCTTTGGTTCTTACCCTGACTCCTCTCAGTGATGGATTATGAATGGAAGTGTAAGGTGAAATAAGCCCTCCCCTCTCCAAGTTGCTTTTGATCATGGTGCTTTGTTGCAGCAATAGAAACCTAAGATGCCCAGTTTCTAGCATGTTAGTTTTCTTTAACTAAGTATACAGAATCAGCTTAGCAGAAACTCTAGCTGGAGTTGGGGCATCAAAGTCAAGGCTCTTACATTGCTTCAGGATTCATCACGCAGATAGACACTCCACAGTGGCACTGGCTCACATTGTCGTATGATATCCCCATGCTGAGGCTCAGCAGCTGAACTAAAACAATGGCAAGTGATTCCAGACTCACGGCTTTGGGTTGCTGAAAGGAAAACACACAGGACCATAAATGTGTGCACACTTTATGTGAGGCATTTTACTTGCAGCTAGGAAAATGTGATTGATTATTCACAATAGCCACATAGTAAAATAAAGGGTAAACACACATTGTACTAGTCACAGAAGCACCACCCATATTGCAACAGTGTGTTTCAGGCAACCCTGCAAACACAGGCATGATTCAAAAGTACATGGCTTTTAATGTGAGTAAAGTGAGACACTTGGAAAAATAATTTTAAAAAGTTTAAATGGGATAAGTCCCAGTTATAATATTGAGATGCATATCAAAAATAAATTTGTAGGGTCTGGAGAGATGACTGAGTGGTTTAGAACACTTGCTGCTCTTCCAGAGGACCCAGGTTTGATTTCAAGCATCCACATAGATGCTCACATAGAGTTCTATGTCTAGAACTCCAGTTTCAGGAGATCTGACACCCTCTTCTGGCTTCTGAGGGCACTGCACACTTGTGATGTACAGACACACACATATGCAAAACACTCATGTAAAATAAAAATAAAACAAAAAAGTAATCAGTCAGGTGGTGGCAGCTCATACCTTTAATCCCAGCACTCAGAAGTCAGAGGCAGGAGGATCTGGCAGGTTTCTGTGAGTTTGAGGGCAGCCTGGTCTACAGAGTGAGTTCCAGGACAGTCAGATCAACACAGAGAAACTTGTCTCAAAAACAAATAAACAAACAAACAAAATCAATTAAAAATTAGGAGTGACTAGAAAATTCAAAATAGAGCTGAGTTTTTCTTATGTTTAATAACAGCCCAGAGCAAGCATCTCATCTACTAGAACCAGACAGCACTTCTCCTGTAGATCAGAAATGACACAAGAACAGCCATTTGCCAACTCAACACAGTGTGGTCCACGTTAACTGTCTCACAAACCCTCACAGGTTATGAAGGGCAAAATATCTTTCATTTGCACAGGAACCAGTTTACTTGTTATGGAAACTACAACAGTCAGACTTCATGGGGCAGAGTGCTGTGTCTGATGAAGAATGTGTTCATCAATGTTACATATGTATACCTATATTATTTTGTGTGTCTGTGCTGTATGCCTGTACGCCTGTGTGTGTGTGTGTGTGTGTGTGTGTGTGTGTGCATGCATATGTGAGCATGCTCATCTGGGCATGCTCATGGAAGCCAAAGGCCCATCCTAGGTGTCTTTCTCTTTGCCCTCTACTTTTTTTTTTTTTTTTTTTTTTTTTTTGAGACAAGGTCTCTAGTTCAGCTTGGAGCCCCCTGTGGGCAGTAGACTTGCTGCTGGGGAGCTCTCCAAGTCCTCTTCTCTCTGTCCCCCAGCCCTGGGGTTACAGTGTACACTACCATACCCAGCTTTCTTACATGGTGACTGGGGAGTCAGATCCTCATGTTCACACAGAGGGCACTTTCTCCATGAGTCATCTCCTGGTCATTGTTCTTTCATTTGTCTTCAGTAACCATTATAGAGTCTATGTATGTAAAGCAAGTGTGTGTGTATATGTATGTATATGTGTGTTTATATAATTTCTATTTGTCAATTAAATATTCACAATTTAAAACATATACACAGATAACATCCTCACTTGCTTCTCAACTAACAGCTGCTTGGGATGTGTTTTTTCCACACATGTTTTTAAGAAGCAAGACAAGAGGATATATAATCCCTTGTTGGCACTACACAGCCCTAAGGGATGATGGGAGAGAGAGGGCGGTGGCTGGGGAAGCAGTGAACCAAGCTGCACCTACATATTCCCGCATCTCACTCCTGTGGATATTGGATGTTGCTTGTGTTTCTCAGTCAGTGATGGTTATCCCAAAGAAATGTGGAGAAAGGGGAAGCGCTGGGGACAGCCTCAGCCAGTCACTCCTCTTCCCCTGGGAACATTCTTCTCTGTTCCAAGAGTCTCAGCCTTCACAGTCCTCTACAGCTAGACCTTCCTTGGTAGCCAGTCTGCATTTATACAGATGTGTTCTTTCTCTTTGTTAACCAGTGAAGTTTTTTCTTCAAGTTAGCTTTGTGTGTGTGTGTGTGTGTGTGTGTGTGTGTGTGTGTGTGTGTGTTGCATATGAATGTTTGAGGAAGTCCCACACCCCATCCTTAGAGACCAGGGAAATCACTTTCTCCACAAAACAAATGTTACATTTACCAAAATATGACATGGATTTTTAATGTGGATTTTTTCTTTTCCAGCTCCACTGTGCTCCATTTTGCTTACTAGAGTGAGGCCATTCTGTGCTGCCTCTCTGAAACTCCAGCAGGCATCACAGAAACACGAGTGTAAAGGAGCAGATTCTATAGTGAGAAGCACAAAAGGGAAATGATGTCAGAACTACACTAGGGCCAACCCCCTAAGAGCCCCACAGTAATGCAAATTTTAGTGGGAACAACAAACCAAGGGAATTATAGGTGGTCAGCACAGTCCAGCTCTACTGACTCCCTGCCAAGGTTTAGGTCAGTTGCATGAGTGTGGTGAAAGGGCTTAGAAAATTTTTAGACTAAGAACTACAGAATGAGTTGACACGTGCTGCTAATCCTTTATTCTCATTCTCTTCCTGCTGTAAAGTTTCCAGTTTATATTCATATGCACAAACAAAGGCGATTCTCTGGTAATCACAAAATTACAGGGCTTGTATTTTTCAGGGTCATAAAGCAGATAAGAGATGCCCCAAACAACACTGTCAGCAGCTTGGATGTGCCACACCCCTATCTTTGAAGGTCCCAAATGGGATCTGTTTGAAAGACTCCTCTCCTGGCTAAATGTCCTGCCAAATAAAAGATGTTGCACGCAGCTGGCTTCTAAGTTGTATCTCAGGGAATGGAGTGGAGATTTGACTGAGGAAAGCAAGGTTTTTGACTGCGTGACTAGATTTTCTCATCAGGTGCTTAAGCAGAAGAACAAGGCAGAATTTTAAGTATTCACAGTCCTTGTGGGACAAACAGATACAGTTATGAAGCATGTCCCCCATGTGTATTCTGAATTATCAAATGATATTGTTAAATGAAAAAAACATCTTCCTGACCACTCACAGAGATGCAATCATGAGATTGCATGTATAAATCACATGAGATTACACACTACTATGTAGGCATTGAGCAGAAGACACCAAGCTGCTTTAGCAAAAGTGAGCAACAGTTTCCAGAGTTGATGGTCCTGCAGGTCTTGCCTGGATAGGATTAACCTCCGCCAGAGTCACTCCTCTGGTGAGTTGACATCTCAACAACCTGCTGTAACTCTCTCGTGGTCCCTAACGGGGAACCTTTAGTTTTATACTGTTTTATACTGCAGTCTGTTATACATTATTTAAAGATTTACTTTATTTTTAATTTTGTGTGTGCATGCTTGTATGAGTGTAGTGCCCACAGAGGACTCAGGAGGGCACTGGATCCCCTGGAGCTGGAGTCACAGCTGGTTGTGAGTTAAAGGATGTGGGTGGGTGCTGGGAACTGAATCTGGGTCCTCTGTGGAGGAGCAAGGGCTCTCTAACAAGGACCTCCCAGCTCGCCCATGTTATGAATTTTAATCAGGCAGATTAAAGCACAGCATACCAGAGCAACACTTCCAGCATAGTTCTTGTCACACATCTTCCCCTGAAAGGTGGCACCAACGTAGTCTGAAATTTCTCTGTAACTGAATTGAAAGAAGTATAATCACATAAATTTGCAACAGTAAGCGTAGTTAATGCTCTATTTTCATAGAACAGATTTTTTTTCTTTTTCTTTCTTTCTTTTTTTTTTTTTTTTTTTTTTTTTTTTTTTTTTTTTGAGACAGGGTTTCTCTGTATTGCTTTGGAGCCTGTCCTGGAATTCACTCTGTAGACCAGGCTGCCCTTGAACTCACAGAGATCCACCTGCCTCTGCCTCCCCTCCCGAGTGCTGGGATTAAAGGCGTGTGCCACCAACGCCCAGCCATAGAACACAGATTTTAGTGTTGCTTACTGATTCAGACTCTTAAAATTTCCACTAACAGTCATGTGACATGGGTTAGGATTGCCCAATGTTCCTACATTTCTAAAAATGATAAAAATCGGTTTAAAAAAATAGAAAGTGTACTTTCACATGGGTTTCTGAAACACAGTGAAAATTAACTCAGTGCAATGGCCATTTTAGAAAAAAAAATGGATATATCCTCTGAAATAATATTTTAATAATATTTTAATTTCTTAAAATAACAAAATGAAGGCATGGAAGCGGGTACATGGGTAGAATTGGGGCAGAGCTGTGAAGTCTCCTCATTGTCTAGTGGAATTAGCCTGCGAGAGCCACTTCAAGGCAAGCATGCAACAGAACACTAAAAGTACCGCATTCCATGTGTGTTCTGAAACTACCGATGTTAGAAAACAAAGAGTATTAAATAGGAGGGACCTGTATACTAACAGTATACTACAGTATACAACTATACTATAACACAGTGTAGCTACAATACATCCATGGTATATTAGAACAGTCATTCTCCACCTGTGAGTCACCACCCCTCAATAAACCTCTATCTCCAAAAGTGTTTTCATTAAAATTCATAACAGTAGCAAAAAATCACACTTATGAAGTAGCAACGAAAATGATGTTATGGCTGGGGTTCACCACAATGTGAGGAACTGTATTAAAGGGTCACAGCGTTGGGAAAGTTGAAAACTAATACTTAGTTAGAAGTATCATCCTTTCTTGTTTTTCTCTTTTTCTTTCCTTTCATAGTGTGTGTACATGCTCATCCATGTGTGCCCTGGGGTTACAGAAGCACAGACCACTAGGCTTTTACACAGGTGTTGGGACTCTGAACTTGGGTCTTCAAAAAATGCCCAGCAAGCACTTTACCCACATAGCCATTTCCTCAGTTTCTCCTTGTTGTTGCTATTCTTGTCATTATTATTAGTTCAAAGAACAAAGCTAAATGCCTACATTCATAGAATTCAGACAGGCCTTCCAAACAGATACTGTGAGCCTGTGATGCACAGCCTGGCACACTTGACGGAGTTATGTGTGCTCTGTGGTAAGAAGACACCCGGAAGTAGGGCAGAAGAAGTGAGCTTCAACTACAGACCAATCAAGTGAGGGACCTTAATAATCTCCCCATAAGTAAGCTGTCCTAGTAGGTTGCGTGCTATTGTATATACAGGGGGCAGAAATCACAGAGAACTTGCCTTTCCTCTAAAATGCCTGTGGATTGTTGGAAAAGGGATCAGACTGGCCAGTTTCTCTGGGTATAACCTGTCATAGCTTGAGAAAAGTACGTACACAAGTAAAAATGCCATGTCATGTGGACGAAGAACGAGGTAAGACTGTTTCCACTTCAGGAACCTGTAGAGCAACTCATTAGCATCACCAGCGATTGAGATTTTGTTTTCATCCATCCAAAATTCCAGGGAAGACAGAATTACTGTAAGATTAAAGGGGGCAAAAATCTAAAATAGAACACAGACAGAAAACCCGTTCAAATAACATGATCTAAAGGGACTGGGCAAAAGAGCTCTGAAAAGAAGCTCAGGTCATGCATTTAAGAACAGTAGTGTGGGTCTGGATTCGGTATTTGAAAGTATTAGTTAGCAGTAAGTGTCCTGGTCATATGTCACACTGGAGCCTTTAAAATGCTTGCACTTAATCAACACCCCCGTCCCCCCAAAATGTCTCGTTGTATGTAATCCCTACAATGACCTACTTTATAGGTAGGAGAATGGACACTTCAAATGCAACTTAATGGTCCTTCTATCACTCAGCATGCATCTTTATGCAGATTCACCAGAAGGTATGGGGGTTCTTAGGAACAGCAGCAAGTGTGGTGGTTTGAGTGATAATGTCCCTTAGGTTCTGGCATTTGGATACTGTCACCAGTTGGTGGCATTGTTTGCGGAGGTTTAGGAATTATGGTCTTGCTGAGGAAGTGTGCCACTGGGGGTGGAGCTTTGAGGTTTCAGAGCTGAGCACCCCCTCCCCCCCCAGTACACTCTCTCTGCTTCCTGCCTTTTGTTCCAGGCTTGTGCCCTCAGCTTCCATCTCTAGCTGCTGTATCTGCTGTGTACTGCTATACTGTCTCCACCCTTAAGGACTTTAACTCTCTGAAAGTATAAGCCCAAAGAAACTATTCCTTCTATAGGCGGCTTAGCTAGGTTTCTATTGCTGTAACACCATGAAGAGACACTATGACCACGGCAACTCTAATAACGAAAACATACATGGCTCACGTACATGACGGCATGCAGGCTGTCATGGTGCTGGAGCTGAGCATGCTACATCTTGACTCAGAGGTAACAGAAAATCAGCTGTCACACCAAGTGAAGCTTGAGAGAAAAAAAAAAAGCCCCCACGGTGGCACATTTCCAACAGAAGGTGTGGCCCAGATTAAAGGTGTGCCCTCTAGTCTCAAGGTCTGGATTAAAGGTGTGTATCATTCAGCCTCCTCCAACAAGGCCACACCTCCCAAGAGTGCTACTTCCTATGCTCTTATGGGGGCCAAATACATTCAAACTACCACTAATAAATTACCTTGGATATGGTGTTTTATCACAATAATAGAAAACACAAAGAAGAAAATACTCACAGCATTTGCCAATCCAACCAACTGGAAAATCTTTTGAGTGACAACGGTTGCATCAGCCCCAATATGCTCATACTGTAAAATAAAATTGCTGTATATATACATACATATATTTGTTTGACTTCAATTCTGTTAGAAGTTTAATATAGCAAAGCAATATACTGTTTTAAATCACTGACATTTTAATCCGCGTTATTTTATTATTCGTATCACATAGTGTGAAAATAGAAAATACAAAAAAAATCTGAAAAGCTACGATATAAAATTCCACTATTAATAAAGTAAGGATAATAGTTCCTGACAGAAAATATTAGCTTTAAGTGATTTAGATATGAACATCTCAGTGTTTTATTATCTGTGCACATGCAGTGGCCACGGAGGCCAGAAGAGGGCACCAGATCACATGAGCTTGACCTGGAGACTGTTGTGAGCCACCACATGGGTGCTTGGAACTGAACTCGGGTCCCCTGTGAGGGCAGCAAGCCGGCTTGACCGTGGTCATCTCTCCAGCTGCAGGAAGCAACTTAAGATGGGGGAAACTCCCAGAATCTGCATGTGAAAAGCTCTCAAAATGTTATTCACTCAGTGATTACGCTTTTGCAATGTTTTGGAAACAGAAGACACATCAGTGGGTTATGGAGGCCAGTGAAATTGGGGGAGAGAGGTGTATGACTAGGAAGCAGCATGCAGTGGCTCCTGGTTGGTGCAAGCAGCCTGCATCTTGGCTGCATTCGGTCGCAGTGTGATGGCTTCTGCAGTACTGGCTGAAGACGTCTGTGTGTATGTGCACGTGTTCCTGCAAGTGTGTGTGTATGTAACTATCCTCAATAAGAAGGCAAACGGAAAAATGAGAAACTATTATAATAAAAATTTCCATTAATAGCAAAAGGAATAATGGAGGGGAAAAAGTACAAATAATTGAGTTTATTCAAATTCAAGTTATTATATTCCAAAGTCAAAGATTGATTCTGTGAGACATGGGAGAATTGTTTCTTCTTCCTTCCTTTCTTTTTTTTTTTTTTTTTAAGTTTTACTTATTATGAATGCAGTGTTCTGCGTGCATGTGTGTCTGCAGGCCAGAAGAGGGCACCAGATCTCATTACAGATGGTTGTGATCCATCATGTGGTTGCTGGGAATTGAACTCTGGACCTCTGGAAGACCAGCCTGTGTTCTTAACCACGGACCGAGCTATCTCTCCAGCCTAACAATTGCTTTTCTAATGCCTCACTGCTAATTAAAAAATGAACAAAGCAAATACAATTGGAATACACTTACCATTCCTTTCTCGACTACAACATGTATTTCTAGATAGCGAGACACAACTTTCTGTGACTGAAAAAAAAGAAATTCCACAGATTTGATGTCAAAATTGAAGAATGACTTCAATATTTTTAGTTTTATCACTAATTCTAGTGAGACAAATGTGGTGAGATTTTTATATTCAGAAATAGAATCAGAAACGTTACCAAAGCAGATCATTCAGACCCCTCCCCACCTGTTCTCCTGTTCCTTCTCTGCGCCTTGTCTTGTCAGACATTTATCTTATCCAGAAGATAATCCACCTCCCGTCCTTTCTCCCCGTCCCCACTGGTCCCACCTCTCCCTCCCATTCTTCATGTTCCCATTCATCTTGTGAGCAGTTCTGTTAGCTGAATGATATTCTTTTTTAAACTTCATGTTTGTTTTTAAATTAAAGAGAAACAACTAAACAGCTGGACAAAACAGCCCTACAGACTACAGCTAGGATATCTGAATCTTCTTCGAATCCCCCAAGACAGCGCCCCTTACCAGCAGGAAGTAGTTTGGAAAGAACGACGCCCAAATTCCCAAATATTGTGTATAAATGTTTGTTTTCATTTAATTGGACTTTGTTATATAAAATTAAATAAAAAATTATATATATATAAAAAAAGAGAAACAACTATGTGTGCTGATGTGTGTGTTTATGTGGTATGTTTACCATGTGTGTGCAAAACCAGTATTTGTGGTTCTCTTGGGTATTTAGTCAAAGTTAATTCTCCAGGCCAAGTGTAGGAGAACTCACCTACATTTTGCTTCTGACTCAACTGTTTTTAGATCCTAGATCTCTGCTCTGTAGTGTTTGTTTTTTTTTTTTTATGGTTTATTAAAACTTGACTGAGGATTCAGAAAAGCAAAGTCAGCCTCAAGTTATAGAGATCAGGCTGTGTTGGTACACACCTTTAATCCTAGCAGGCAGCAGCTAGGAGGTGGTGTTACACACCTTTAATCCTAGGACTCAGGATTAAGAGATAGATGGATCTCTCTGAGTTCAAGGCCACCCAGATCTACACAAGAGTGCATTAGTCTAAAAGACAATTACAGCTCATACCTTTAATCCCAGGACTTATGAGAGGTAAATAAGACAGGACAAGGAGTGAGTATGAGGCATTTGTTCTCCAGCTACACTGAGGAGAGGCAGCAGTTAGAGACTTGGTGAAGGGCTCCTTTGTGGGTCATCCCTTTCAGCCTGGCCTAGAGGTGAGAGCTAGTGGCTGGCTGCTTTGCTTCTCTGATCTTCAGCTTGAAGCTTGAACCCCAACATCTGTCTCTGGGTCTTTTATTTATCCGTGTTACACTGCTCTACTTAGAATTTATCATTCAGTGACTTAGCATCCAGCCAACTCTAAGCCTTTCAAGTTTCCTTTCTGGTCCCAAGGTCCCATTTGTGCAAACATTTCTTTACAAGTGTTCTTGGTAGCATTGTATTATTTAAATAGTGGGAATCACCCAATTGTTCACCTGTTGATTAAATAAATGTGATATATTACTAAAATGGAATAATACTTAAACATGAAAATAAAACTGGTATTTTAAAATACTACAACCATGAGCACATTGGTGGGTAAAAACTCACAAAAAAAAAAAAAAAAAAAAAAAAAAAAAAAAAAAAGACCCGTTTGATGATTCCACTTGTATATTATGTCGTGAAGCAGCAATTCTATAGATACAAAAACGTGTAAGTAGTTTCCAAGAAAAGGCAGGCAAAACAGAAGGAGATATAGGACGTGCTTGCAAATCGATCTGTCACTGCCATTTAACTGTGGAGGCACATACTAACAAGATGCAGAACAGCATCGATGGATGTGTGTCTCAATAAACCCTTACAGATGTGAACAGGCAGTAGGCAGTCTGCTGCCACTCATTAGCAACCCCCTAACGTTGTTATATTGTTCAAGTAAGCTTTGTACCTATTTTGCAGTATGACAATTGTAATATATAATACAAAGTACACAAAACTATAGGTCATTTTAAAGTTGCCCTTGGGGGTAAAATAAACAGTTTTGGAATACTCCGTTAGTAAAAACTAAGAGGAAGAATAAAGGAATAGGAACATAACAAGACCAAGAAACAACAAGGTGATAGATTATGATTATTCTACAGTGCTTTAAAACTGACATCATGAATGATGGGATAAAACAAAATTGCCACATTAAAAAACAACAGCATGCTGTTTGGAAAAAAAAAAAAAAAAAACCATGGTTTCACTGAGACAAATGTAGCTTTAAAATGCTCACAACCAATGCACATGTAAGCAGCTTTAATAACATTCAGTGAGTTACAAAACTAAACTAAACAAAACAAAAAGCCATGAAAGGGGGCAGTGACGTATTGGGAAGAGGAGGGACTATAGACGGAGTGGGAGTGGATATCGATACAAGCATTATATACGGGTATGGGGTTAATAAATAAAATGTATTTTAAAAAATACACACGTATGGAATTGTCAAACAATAAATAAAATTATTTAAAATAAAAACTGTATAAATCAATAACACCAGAACAAAGAAGGAGGCATCACTAACAATATTAAGGAAGTTAGAGAAATATTGAGAAAAATCACAAAACTAGTTTTCAGGATTGTGACTGATGAGCATTTGTTGGACACATCCTTGTGATGTCTATGTGTGCATGTGTGGTATATAGGTAAATAATTTGTTTACCAGGAAATTACTTGATAACATCTAGTTAATCCCCTACCTTGACACTTTGTATCTTATACTTCAGGTCCCTTAGTTCAATATCCTTCTCAGCATAGAGCAAAGCATCTCCTTTCTTAGGCTCCATTTGATAGATCACGTGTTCAAAACCAATGGAAGATTCCAGAGGTTCTATTCCATAGCTAACATTTCCAAACTGAAGGAAACCTCTGGCAAGAAACAAAAACATACATTATAAAAAAGCATTACACATGGAGGTGTCAGTCAACTGCCATGCAATTAATGCACTTTCACAAGCTCATTAAGTCCGGAAGCGCAGCCACACACTGAGTGGCACAGAGTAGTGACATAATTGGAATATCCCAGCTATTACAAGCCCATGACTTCTGTGGAGCTGGAGAGATGGCTGAGTGCATAAGAGCATTTACTGCTCTTGTAGAGGACCAGGGGTTGGTTCCCAGCTCCACATGGAAGCTCACAACCACCTGTATTTCCAGTGTATTCATCTAGTACTCGTGTAGGCACACATAAGAATAACAAAAATAAATCCTGAGAATTTTTTATGCACTCCTAATATAACAATAGCTTAAATTCAGTATCAGGGTAGAATCTGTTATTTAAAATAATTATATATATATATATATATATATATATATATATATATGATCAACAAAAAAAATTCATTTATACTCCTTTTTGTGTTCCATGCATTTACACAAACACACACACACACAAATTTATTTAAAAAAACACACCATTTTATATACAATTACGTATTACAACCTGAGTCCAGTACATGTGCTAACAATCACCATAGAATTTGGATAACCTTCAACGTATCCTTGGAAGTAGCAGATATTCTGAAACACAAAGATAAAATACACAATATATCCCTTGTGGTAAAGATATCATTATCAGAGACCTCAGACTGTCAGCTTGTGTGTGTGTATGTGTGTGTGTGTGTGTGTGTGTGTGTGTGTGTGTAAGACCAGTTGTTTCCAAAATCAGATCCATAAGACTAATGTGTGGAGTGGAGCATAACTTTCTGAAGTGTTCATGGTTTTATAAATTACCACATGTGTGTATTTTCATATATTTCTCTCTCTCTCTCTCTCTCTCTCTCTCTCTCTCTGTCTCTCTCTGAGACAGGGTCTCACTATATAGCCTTGGCCTGCTGGAATTCACTATGTAGATCCAGCTGGTCTCAATTTCACAGAGATCTCCCAGTCTCTGCCTCCTTAAATATGAGTTAATTTATCCGTAATTAGGATAATTATTGATAATCAAACACTCTTTTAGTTTTATTTTCACATTCTTCTGACTTAATTCTGCATGTGAGAGAAGCAAAAGAAATCCAAAGGGGAAATTTGTTTTCAAGAGTATTTTGAGTGAGATACGAGGATTGGCTTGCAGAGTCCTCTCACAGAGGCCATCAATAACTCCAGAAATGGCCATTACATTCGCTGAGCTTCTCATTACATGACTTCCCACATCTCTCCTGCAAGGGCTCCCCCAGGCAAGGGAGCAGGGGGGCTCTAATAGTCTTTCAGGTTCTGGGAGGAGGCAAGGGTTTCCAAGGTGCCCAAAAAGAGATGCAAAACAAAGCCTTGGAAGAGAGGAGGACACAGAGGGAGGTTCCAAGATGCATGCTCAGGGGTGATTCCTGTATCTGCCTTTGGGCCAGGGATGTGACCTGGCAGAGAGACAATGCTATTCAGTGGCTACCTCTACCCACCCACCCCAACCCTGGAGGATGTATTTACATTACTCTCATCTTGCCTGTCTGTCTTTGAGGATGGGATGCTTACAGAGTGGAAGTTCCTTTTTAGGGAAGGGTAGGCAGAAGCCACTTGGATCCAAGATGGCTGCCAGCCTGACCACATGACAACCTCTAGCCCTAGTGTAGTTTCCCTACTAAGTGACACACCCAGCAGCAACCTTAACAGAAAGCACTCGACCATAAAGGAGCAAAGACAGGCAGTGTCTGGGTTAGGAAAACACTTCCTTTCTATGCAGGTAATGTGTGACTTCCTCTGAGAAGGTGAGCTGAGAATTTGTGAGGTTCCCAGGGATCTACTCAGGCTATCCAATAAACTTGCACTGGTGAAACTTAGCCTAGGATCTGTCTTTGGCTTTGTGGCACTAAGCAATCACCTCTCCAGGATGAGGACAATTATCTGGGGAATCTGGCAGAAACTAAGGCCCTTAAAGCTGGAAAATCAGATGGATTACTAGAACAAGACTGGAAATGCTTGAGGTTGATTTCTTCCAGTGCTAGGATTTAAACCTAAGACCTTCTGTATGCTAGGCAAAGACTACACTGAACTATGTCTCAGCCCAAGACTGGAAATTCTTCAAAGGTTCATAAGTGTTTTGATGGCATCATTGAACGTGGCCAGTATATGATTAAAAATATGTTTTTGGGGTGGTGGTGATGGTGGTGCACACCTTTAATCCCAGCCATTGGGAGGCAGAGGAAGGTGGATTTCTGCTGTGAATTTAAGGCCAATTCAGAATACTTATCAAGTTCTAGGCTAGTAAGGCTACACCACACACATACACACACACACACACACACACACACACACACACACACACACACACACACACGAATGCACGCATGCATATAACCAGGAAACAAATGGTTTAGATACACTGCAGTGTGATTTGGCTTGGGAATCACCTACTAATGGGATAAGCACATCTCACAGAAGGAAATTGATAAGTTTACATCAAAACTAATGAGGACATCTATGCTGTGGACTCTAGGACCACACCACGGAGGCAGAGTGAGAAGGAACTCATACCTGGAAATGCTGATCCAGAGGCCTCATGATTCCTGTATTGTCATAACTGTAAACTCTAAAGCTGGGAGGCAAGAACACTCTGCAAAAGCAAAGATGAGGTGTATTTAATAGAAAATTGTTTCCCACATGTTTAATTTTTAAAAGATCATTGCCAGGCAGTGAGGGCTCATGCCCTTAATCCCAGCACTGTGAGTTCAAGACCAGCCTGGTGGTCTACAGATCGAGTTCCAGGACAGCCAGGACTGTTACACCAAAAAAAAAAAAATTAACATTATCATATTATCACATACATTATCTATAGGTAAGTTTGCAAAAGATTTCTTCGTCCAAATCTTTTTCCTCTATGTTAAATTGCCAAAGCTATTGCTTGTAAGCCAGTTAAACCATAGTATCTTCCTGTTAGAACCAAATAAGCAAACATGTTTGCTATCTCTAGACCATGGTCAGAAGGATGCTGCCTATTCCAGGCCATTTTTGACATGAATACACAACACCCTGCAGTATCCTGCAGGCAGATGAGAACTGGACCTCAGGCAGCCCCAGCATCGCCCAGACACCGGAATGAAGGATAAGGCCCAGCTGAGAGTTCTGGAAGCAATCTGGCAGAAGCATCCACTAAGTCATCCAAAAGGCCTCCATTTCCCACAGAGAGGTAGAAGAGGATCGTGGATAATAAGCCATTTCCACAGAGAGGTCTCCATGTCCCACAGAGAGCTAGCAAAGGGTCGCAGGAAGTAACAGTTACAAAACAGAGTTTAGGACAATGGCTACACACACGCAAAGGTAGACCCAAAGCTCAGACCTTCTGCAGAGAAGGAACAACAGTTGAATAAACAATGTAGTGTAAGGGAGAAAATTCTCATATTGAGAAGAAAAAAAAAGGTGGGGCTAGAATAATGGCTCTGTGGGCTCTGATTATGAACACTGTCCATTCATAACACCCACGGGGTGGCTCTTGGAGCTCTGTAACTCCAATTCTGGGGCTCCTGATGCCCTTCGCTGGACTCTGAAGGGACTGTGGATTTATAGTTTCACATAGTTTACATGCCACACAGACAAAACACAGGTGCAAAATAAAAATCTTTCTGGAAATGTTTAAAATAAAAATTTAAAAAAATTAAAGGACAGAATAGAAGCCATAAAAGATATTTGCAGAGCACTAAGGTGTACGTTTGTACAGAAGTTTAAACACGAAAAATAGTCATAAATTTGTTGAAAACAATCTTTAAAACTGGACCAAAAGAAACAGCAAAATGGAAGTTAAAATCCAAGGAAATCATCACACATAGAGGGTAGAGTCAAGAAGCTAATGGGAAAGATGGACGGGTATGGATAAATACATGGCCGATCAGTGAGGGCAGAATTGCTTCGGTGAACAAATTCATGTCATACCGAAGGCCCCTGTGCCTGACCAGCAGCATCCTGGAGAGGTGGGCGGAGTGAGAACATGGAGTTGGCCCATGGCTTCATGGGGGCACTTTGGTAAAGGCTCTGTGCACTCTGTACACAGCTCAAGTGTCCTGCAGAGGTAAACATGGAGCTGGTGCCAGTCTATTTAGGTGTAAGCTGGTGGTAAGGTTGGAAATGAACCAGCTATGAAGGTAACTGGAGAGGGGCTGGAAGGGCTGGAAGGGGTAGAAGCAGACCAACGATGCTGGCTGCTGACTCAGCCCCCAGAAGCCCAAGATCTAAGAAGCACAGGGTCACAGTCTTTCAAACACAACGTTGGAGAAAAATGAAGCTCAAATCCAGGAATGATGACCTGTGTTTGTAACCCCAGCACTTGGGAGACTGAGAGAGGAGGAATGAGTCCCAGGCCAGCCTTGGCTACACGGAAAGATTCTGGAGAGAGAGAGAGAGAGAGAGAGAGAGAGAGAGAGAGAGAGAGAGAGAGAGAATGAACAGCCCATAACTAGAAAATTTTCAAATATAAAATCGTTGCATTTTAGGTAATTACCAACAATAGTGGTAATTGAAATAAGAGCAGTTGATAAAATATGACAGTTACCTACTTTTGCATTAGGTTCAGAGTGTATGTTTTCCCTTCAATTGTGAGATTGTAGGCCACCTGGAAGGAGAATATATTAAAAAAAAAAAAAAAAACAAGGAAAACAAGTTAGAAAGGAAAATTTTTTTTACATGAATGTTACATTCCAAAATTATATTAATACAACAAGAAGAGAAATAGTATAATTTGATGTTGGCTTATTCCAATGAAATGTGCTATTAAAATGTTATCTTTCAATACAAAAACAGTAGACAGAAAAAAAAGAGCTGTAATTTATTATCCATTAACTTATCCAATCAGATAGATCCTCTAAAGATGGGTCACTTTTTACCTAATAACTGTGCTAGCTTGCTAGAGACAGATCACTATAAAATTCACAATTCCTATCTGGGCAGAATATACCAAAAATCACTTAATTCCACATACAAGAGGAAAATACCCATAGCATAAGAAAAATGCCCATAGCAGAGCCTGCAGTATTTGTAGGTTTTATAAAATTTGCTCGAGGTCTGGATACAGAGTTTGCCAACCACCATATTAGTATGAAGATTTAGAGATATTACCCACAGCCATCCGCTTTCACTCTGCATGATGGCAGAGGCCTGGTGTCTTTTAGTTCACAAGTGCATAATTAGTAACATACCTCGGCATATTAAGGTCTTCAATCCCTCCCTTCTCATTTTCTTGTTTTCCATTAGAAGGGTATATATTTGTGAGATTTACTTGCAATTAGACTTTTATGTAGTGTGAGTTAAATTAGTTATTTTGTAAAATTCTTTATTATACCTTTTCCTTTGCCAAAATAAAAACGCACTGCATTTTGTACTTTGATTATGCTTACTCAATTTTTTGCTGTTGGCTTTTGTTCTGACTTAACAGATTTTGTTTATAGTTGTCTCATCTGTAAATAATGATAGTTTCCCCCACCATTTTCTCTTCAATAACCATGGGCAGTTTTACTTCCTTCTAGATCTCTTATAGGATACTTCCAATAGTTCAACATTATGTTATTTTTAAAGGGTATTTTAAATTCTCTGTAAGCCACTTTGTGGTAGTTTGACTGTAATTGGCCTCCATAAGCTCATAGGGAGTGGTACTATTAAGAGGTGTGGCTTTGTTGGAGTAGGTATGGCCTTGTTGGAGGAAATGTGTCACTGTGGTGCTTTGAAGTCTATTATGCTCAGAACACTGCCCAGTGTCTCAGTCAACTTCCTGTTGCCTGAATGATGTAGGACTCTTGCCTACTACTCCAATACCACATCTACCTCCACCTTATTCCCCATCATGATGACAATGGGCTGAACCTCTAAAACTGTAAGCAAGCCATCCCAATTAAATGTTTTCATTTATAAGAGTTGCCGTGGTCATGGTGTCTCTTTACAGCAATAGAAACCTAACTAAGACATGCTTTGATTCTAATTTTAAATTGTCATGTATGTTAGCCATACCAGACTTAGAAATAGCTAAAACACCATGTCACCAATGGTTATACTAAAAACTAAAGCACTAGTGTCACACCCACTCAGCAGAGCACAGTCCTCCCTGACACCTCTGATGGTCAGCATGCAAAAGCTCATGTTCACCATTCATGTTCATGCTGGTTATGAATATTTATTTAAACAGTGGTTTGTTTGACATAAACTTTGACTTACATAAACTTGGTCTTTGTGTAAGCACATAATCTATCTGCTTCAGTCATGGGCTCGGACACAGTAGACATTGTTGCAACCCTATGTGACCATCATCGCTAGTGCTACAGCTACCTTCAGCGCTTCCTACCCGCTCAGGTATGACATTTCACTTTCTGCATATATCAGAGTTTATCCATCTATCCTATCACAAGAAATTGTTACTTTTCATTTGTTTTACAATTATAAGCAAAGTGATAACAAATATGTATGCTGTATGTTTTAGATAGTGTTTTTATTGCGGTGAAGAGGCACCATGACCACAGACAGAACTCTTATAAATGCAAACCTTTAATTGGGGTAGCTCGCTTACAGTTTCAGGGTTCAGTCCATTATCATCATAGTGGGGAGCATGGCGGCGTGCAAGCAGATGTGCTGTTGGAATTAGCTGAAAGTCCTATATTTTGCAGGCAACAAGAAGTTGACGAACATACTGGGCAGTTTGCTGAGCATAAGAAACCTCAAAGTCTGCTCCTGCAGGGACACACTTTCCTCAACAAGGCAATCCCCACTCTAACAAAGGCACATCTCTTAATAGTGTTACTCCCTATGAGATTATGGGGGTATATTACATTCAAATTATTACACTTTATTAACAAACAAGTGTTTTTCACTTTCACTTATAATTTAAACATAGCCTCAAGGTGTAGTTCAGCAGTTGAATATTTTGCCTCGTGTGCACAAGGCAGTGAGCTCAACCACCAGTACTCCAAACTAACTAACTAACTACTAAATAAATAGACAATAAACAAAAATTTAAAAACACTTGCAAGTTGGCTGTGCACATTTGCAGAAAATGACATTGCTTAGTTATCGTCTTTTTAAAATGAGTTTAAAAACCTATCTTTTTTTTTTTTATCTGTCAAGTGGTATGTGCATATGTGTGCATGAAATACCAGGGGAGGCCAGAAGGGAGCAGCAGATTTTTCAAAGCTGGACTTGTGGATGGTTAAGTCCTGTGATGAGGTTGCTGGGAACCAAACTTCAGAGCAGAACCTGCTCTTAAACACTGAGCCTTCGCTCAGCCTGTGAAACAATTATTTTTTAAACAATGTTCTCCACTCTTAATTTGGACTCTTTGGTATTTATTTGTTAGTTTTCTTATTTATTGAGAAAAGTTCTCACACTATAGTCATTACTGGCCTGGAACATACTATGTAGGCCAGGCTGACTTCAAACGTATCGTGACCTTTCTTGCCTGAGCCTCAGAGGTACTGGGAGTACAGAAGGGGGCTACCACTCGGGCTTAGGTTGGAATCATTAGCACATTCCATTTCTGAAGGAGATTTCATTTGAGTAAATGACTGTATAAACCAAACGTATCAAAAAAAAAAAAAAAAGAAAGAAAGAAAGAAACTGAAGCTTTATTTTAACGCTAACTCTCATTAGCAGACCTATTCATTTACTTATTGTTTCATTGCATATTCTTTTTAAAAAGTGGTTTAAGTTAATTGACTAATACACCTGTGAGTGTGTACTCCCTGATGCCAGGAGAGGGTGCCAGGACATGTAGCTTGGGTGCTGGGCTTGGCACTCTGGCCCTCAAGACTGAACGATTGCTCTTAACCACTGAGCCATATCTCCAAACCTGTTGTTATTCTGACTTCCCTCAAGACATTTTCTTCCCTTGGTATTCAGTTATGTCAAAGAATTACCAACCCGCTTACCCCTGCTTTCAGTGTAAACCTGACCCAAGGATGCTTCTTTTAAAAACCTGTTCTCAATTAACAAAAACTTAGCCCTTACCCCTTCCTCTCAGGACTTCCAGTTTATACCTGAGTGTTTCTTTCTCTCCCTCTCCACCAGCCATTCCTACACTATGATGTCTACTCTCTGAAGGTCAACTTTTACACTTGCATTTGGTGCTTCCTTGTCTGTGGGTTCCACCCACTCACATTTTAAGTATCTCCCTCTTAGGATTTCCACTCTCTGCTACGCACATAGTTTGTAAATGTACATTGGTGTCCCGAGTCAGTAACTACAGAAGCCTCATTGTCCCCTAAAGGCAACAGGCATGCAGGCATTAACCAAAGAGACAATCTGAGTTCTGAGTTTGACACTCAAGACAACTGCCTTTGTTTTTATTTTCTACTCTGCTTGTTGCAAATCAGTGCCTGGTGAGTCCTCCTGGAAGCTATTCCCCCTCCGAGTAGAATCCTTGTTTGCTTTCCAATTAAAAAGAAAACAAGGGCCTCTCAAACGCCCCCTTTATCTCATTGATTAAAGTTTCATAAACACACACATATTCCTTTAAAAAAGACGCATAAAAACTCACAAGCCACAAATGGAGAAATACTAAGGAAACGTGAACACTTAATGATCAGACTATCAGTGACCCAGCCATAAGGGTTTGCTATTTCAAGAAACACAGTTTACAAACGATTCTAGAACTTAAAAAAATAACAAGCAAAAGACCGTAATCCTAAAGAGAAGCAAAAACAGTTTGAAGAGAATAATCTTAACGAGGAACATATCTGCAAAGTTGGAAAAATAGTTTTAAACACACGATAGTATCAAACCACAACCGGCACCCCTCACCAAAATAGTCCTTCAGACACACGTGGGTAGGCAGATGGGAAGAACGCCTTCGAAACCACCGAAGGGCCCGGGGCAGACACCCAGAGTCGGCAGCAGGGTTTCCTCTAAGTATTGTTAAAGTTGGCAAAAACCAGGCATTAAAAAAAATAATAAATAAACTTAGTGCGTGCTCATGGATGAAAAATATCAAGGTAACTTTTTGACAAGCATATATTTGGGTGACTTTTAAGCCATAAGCAAATTGATAATTAATTACTTGTGATTCGTAGCCTCCGCTTTGGATGGACCGGATTTTTTCTGGCACCGTGACTTGCACGTGTAATCTCTCACGAGCTGCAAGGTGCAAAAAGGAATTTCTCAGAGCCATACCCCTCTCACACAGAGAACCTTGTATCCCATGAAGCATCAACTCTCAGTATGACTATGTATTCAAATACCCACACTTCTCCTTCCTTTCCCGAACCGGAAGTTTTCAGAGAAATATGTCTGTTGCTTTGGGATTCTTGACCAGTGGGAAGGATTTGTGAATTCTGAGACAAACCCTAGCCCTCGGCACAAATAAACTCACATCATCCTCCCCTTCTAACTCGCGGCTATCATCGTCAACCTAAAACAGGATCTAAAACTGGAGGATAGAGCCAAGTCTTCCCACACCCATTTCTCATTTCTCAGGGTCCTCGGATCTGTGGGAAAGCCCTGAGCATCCTGTTCTCATTTCAGCTGTTGAGCTGGTGGCCTGGGCTTGTGCAGGTGAGAGCAATCCCCGGGCACCCTGGGCAACCATGACGGAAAGGCAAAGAAAACAGAGCTGGCATCCAAAGGCCCCAGGACGGGTTGTTACTCACTGCCTTTTGTTTGGGGCTCGCTAAGCCCATCAAGCCCACTCAGCCCACTCAGCAGAAGCAGGAAGCGCCACATGGTCTGGCGTCCTGGACCGCAGCCCCAGGGAATGGCAGTTGGCCGGCTACAGGGCAGTTGGGAGCGCGAGGTGAGGGTTGTGGGTGGCAGGGCTGTGTGCTAGCAGGCTTGTGAGTTGCTCTCTGAAAGCCGGCTGGTTTTGAAGGACTTACTGAGACCAAAGGAGGGAAAGGTGCAGGGGAATGGAGTTCGGGGGGGGGGGGGGGCAAAAAAGCCATGGAGAGCCTGGAGAGCCAGAATCCATGGGACAGCTGAGGATCCAAAAGGTGCATATATACTTAGGTGAACTTCTAATTCTTTTTTGTTTGTTTGTTTTTGTTTTTCAAGACAGAGGAACTTTTCATTCTTAACAACAATAACATGTTATGGTATCTAACATTACTTTACATATTTATGGATAGTGTCATTCATAGGTGGACAGTCTAATATCCAAAGGAACACCCAGTATAACCACCACCCAGATCAACAGCTAAGACAGAACCACACACACACACACACACAGTTCCAGCAATTCTCACAATCACAGACTAGTTTTGTCTGCCTGAACTTTCCCCAGAGACAGCAAAAACACTTGTATTCTTCACATCTAGGCTCTTGGGACAGAGTGATTGTAAGTCCCATGCACAGCAGCAGTCCACACGCAGTGCACATTGAATATATCACCATGTGTTTGATATTTGCCTATGAACTTCCTTGTGTGTGATCTTGGCTTAATACTTAGGAATTCCTACTGAGTTTCTTCCCAGAGGGAAGTTACCAGATCGAAGTGTATGTCTTGTAAATACTTCTGATGACTCTTTGAGATTATACTACTAATTTACATCCTACCAGAAGTGTATGACAATTCTAGATTCTCTGTCAGCACTGTCCTGTTAGTCCTGTCAACTTGACACAGCCTAGTGTCACCTGAGAAGGGAGTCTCAATGGAGGGATTGCTGAGATGAGATTGGCCCTCGGGTGTGTCTATGGGGGATTTTCTTCACTGTTTATTGTTGTAGGAGGACATGGCCCACTGTGGGTGGCACCATTCCCTGGCCTGGCGGCCCTGGGCTTTATGGGAAAGCTGACTTTCCATGGCTTGGGAGTGAGCAGCAAGCGGGCATTCCTCCATGGTTTCTGCTTTAAGTGTCCAATGGAGGCTCTGCCCTGGCATCCCTTGATAGGCTGTGACCAGGAAGTGTAAACCAAATACATCCCCTCTTCCCCTAAGTTCCTTTTGGCCAGGGTGTTTGTCACCGGGACAGAATGTAAAGAAAATAAATGTTTGCACTCATTGTCTCTGTTTTGGTTTGATTTTTGTTTATTCCTGGTAGCTAATGAATGTTAACATCTTACATGCTTTTCTGTGTTTATGGGCAACAATATATAATATATATATATATATCATATATTGGAATACACACACACACACACACACACACACACACACGTAAAATCAGTTGCTTCCTTGATATGCTGACCCCCCTACTTTTTAAATGGGCTGCTTTGCCTCTCTCTCATTGTACGTGGAGTACATGGAGCCCGGAAATACACTCTAGATAGGATCCCTTTGTAAAGACCCCAAGAAAATCTTCTTAAAATGGCACCTGAACAACTCTTTACCCCTACTCAACCCCTGGGCTCCCAGAGCTACATCAGTTTAACTGAAGTCCAAAGTTCCCCAGAGGTGACCATCTGGACACGATGGTATTTTCTTACATAACCTAGAGACCTTTGCCCATCCAGCATCACATATGACCTTCAACCTTGCAAGACTTTTTTTTTTCAGTGCTACAGGACCAGTTCATTATGCTCTGGATGTATGAGGCAGCCTGTTGGCTTATGGGGGGTTTTCTGACCATTTAAAGTTGAGCTGCTGATGTTCCCATTGGAGGACTTTCTCAGAGTCTTCTTCCTTACAAATGAGCTTGCCCTTAGGAAAATACGGTTTCCTGGGTCATTCAGGCATTCTACCAGGTCGAATGTTTGTCTGGCAAACAAGCCCTTCAGTTCTAAGGTCCAAAAGGGTAGAGGTAATCCTGGTGTCGCTGGGATCTAAAGCCCTCCGAGGGCTTGTCTTAGTATCAATAAGAGTGCTGGCAACCGCGTGTCTATAGCTGTCCCTCCATTTGATTCCCAGCCTAGAGTTATATATGTATATGCATCATATACTACATCCTATACATGTATACTGTTGTGCCCAAGTCTCAAAGACCTCCAGGGACCACCAAGGAGATAGACTCACCAAACTGTAAACACAAGGCTTTACGGTTTAATCCTACTGGTAGGGACTCCGTCTAGCAGGCTGATGCAGCAGCATCCAGAGAGAGTGAAGACCCTTGTCTATTGCCAGAATTTAAAGGAAAAAAAAAATCACAGGATTATATCAGTGGGCATGGGTCAGATCCTGATTGGTTGACATTTGGGGAACAATTAAGGGAATTTCCCAGAGTCAGGGAAAATGGTTTGTTAGCATTTTTGATTGGTTGGCTACAGATGGAAACATTGGTGGTTCTGTGACTTTGTTTGTTTCTTGCAGGTAGCCTGTTCTCATTGGTTGTGCTGTGAAGGAGCATTCTGTGGTTTCTGTGGCTTTGTCCATCTCTGAGTGAAAGACCCGCAGAGCGTGGACCTTCATGCTCCCATTCAGGAAAGGCGACACCCAAAATCACTCACAAGAAGCGGTCTCGATGCAAATAGCATGAGGAATTTTTATTCCTAGTGCACTGGGGTCCACAGTCATCCGACTGAGGACCTCGAGGGCAGAATTGAGACAGTTTTTGTAGGGTTTACAACAAAGCCCACACATAGGTCACTGGGTCGGGGGTTTCACAAGCAGTTTACGAAGTCTCAGATAACCGGTTAGTTAGCTCATTTTCTGTTATCAGGATTACATACATCAGGGCCTGTCTGTTGTAAACAGCAAGGGATGTGACCTTGCCTATTTACTGGCAGAGGACAGGGTCTGGAATTTGAGGGTTTTTAGGGTTTTTTAGATAGTATTTCTAAACTTCTAGCTTCCTGGGGTCATTGGAGAGTTGGCTGTATTTTTCCATCCTTTCATGAGTTGGTCTGTTGAACATAGATACCAGGGACCCAGATCCTGAATTTTCTTTGTGATTAAACACAGTAACTAAGTCCAAAAGGAAGGTTGTCTTGGAGTTTTTGTTCACAAGAACTGAAGGCTGGGGGACTGGATTTGTTCTGAAGGCTTTTCTATAACCTTTACATTTAAATAGTTTCTCTCTAATAAGAGTTGAATGGGAATTTAAGGCTTTGCCACATTCATACAATTTATCCCCAGTGTGATTTATTAGAAGTGAAGCCTTTGAGTTTAGTTTACCTCTCTCAATACATAGCTATGGTAATATATTATTCATGATTTATTAAAGCTTGCCTGATTACTCAGAAAGCAAAGTCAGCCACAAGCTATAGAGGTCAGGCAGTGGTGATACACACCTTTAATCCCAGCAGCCACAGAGCTAGTTGGTGGTGGCATGCATCTTTAATCCCAGGACTCAGGATTAAGAGGTAGATGGATCTCTGTTAGTTCAAGGCCATACACAAAATTGACCCAGTCATAAAAGAAACAGCTCACACAAAGGTGATCTCAGCACCTGGGACCACACACCTTTAATCTCAGCACTAGGGAGATGGAAGCAGGGGAGATGGCTGGGCAGAGAAAGGAATAAATGAGGAGACAGGAGATGAGAGCTTTTGCCTCTGAGGATTTGTGGAGACGGGATTGCCTTTTCAGCTTGGTAGAGGTAAGATCTACTGGCTTGGCTGCTTTGCTTCTCTGATCTTCAGAATGGAGCTTGAACCCCAATGTGTGTCTCGGGGTTTTTATTTTTCATGTTACACATAGCTATATAAATATTGACCACCACCACCATCTGAGCGTTAGCTACCATCGATGTTGTCTTTAAAGCTGAGGGAACTGAGACACAGGAACCCATTCTCAGTATCGCAGCAAGGAAGCAGCATATCAGATGTCTATGCTGGCTGGTGTGGTTCCAGGTTTAGGAAGCAGATTCTCAAAACAAAGAGTTCAGCCACTGGAGCCAATGGTGGGGCAGCAAGTCCATTGAGATGGACTTGGTCAAGAAGGAGGCAGCTGGGAGACCCCATGAGAGAGCATTCCCAGCTTGGCTGGGGGTCAGGAGATCCTGTCTTTTATGCTTGCAAGATTCAAGGAGAGAAAAACTGGAGGGCAGCTGTTAACAGGAGTCCTGGGTTGGATGGGGCCAGGCTGGGTGGGTCTCAGAGCATGGATTTTGTCCTGGGGGGAAGCTCTGAGGATCCAATGGGTGGTGCAGTTAGGAGAATCTGGTGACCAAAGCAGGACAGAGGGCAGACAACTGCCGAAGACAAGACCAGTGACACCTGGAGTCTCCCTAGATGTGCCAAGGAGGGAAGAGGGGGCCTTTGTGTGTGTGTGTGTGTGGGTCACAAAACTAGATCATCTCAAGCCTGGTGAGTGGTGGCTGGGACTCACTTCCTCAGACTCCGTAGCAAGCTTCAAATACAGTCTGCATCAGCATCTGTGTACACACCATCTAGAAACAAAGGTTGTGGACCACCCACAGCGTCCTTCAGGAAGGCTCCCTGGACAGAGCTGGTGTAGGTCACACAGGACCCTGGAAGCCCATACCAGGCCTCTGCTCATTGGAAAGCAGCGCCCCCTCTGAGCAGTCGGCTGGCTTCTCAAGAGCACAAAGAACTGGAGCACCAAGGTCTAAGCTTTATTGAATGAAGGACCAGAGTCAGGCACTTCAAAAAGGGCAGGTTTGGATTTGGCTGCAAATTTACCAATTGGCCTGCCCCTTGCCTTCCTGACAGGGTGTGATCTTTTCTTCAATGGTGCAGTCATCCTCAGAGAGTTAATCACACACACTTTCTCCTGGATCTAAGATTACATAGCATCTGATCACTTTCATTTAAAGAAAATCATGGGCTGGCAAAAGAATGATGCTGGATGGTTCTGAATAAGGCTATGTCCAGTAACTAAAACATGTCCCCAGCAAAATACATGCTACTGCTAAATCTTGGAGGTCACTGATGGGTTCTTGACTTCAGTCTCCAGCCACTTGATGAGAATCTGGTTCAATTCAGCAGGTCTAGAAGGGGAATAAAGTACATG